AGGGCGTTATCCGACATTATAATTTTTGGAATTGATTTTCTACTGAAGAAACGCCGTAGAGCCAAAATGAATGATTCCACAGTCATATCTGGCACAATCTCTAAATGGATAGCTCGTGTATTTGCGCACGTGAAAAGACAAATATATGCCTTTTGTAGATCTCCATGAGGTGTTTTTACTGTCAATGCTCCAGTGAAATCTATCCCTGTCACAGTGAATGGTTGTGCTTGTTTCAATCTGTTGCTCGGTAAAGGTGGGGCGTCGGGAATACTATATGCTTTACTTGTTACCTTGCGGCACGTGACGCACGAGCGAACAATTTTCCGGACACGTTGACGAATACTTGGAATCCAGGACTTTTGAGGAAGTGACAGTACTTGCTGTTCCGGAATGAAGCTGAACAATATGTGCGTCCTTTATGATAAAGTCTGTAAATTGATGTTTTGACGGAAGAAGGTACGGTAATCTCGTGCTTTCTTGTAACGGTGCATTATGTAATATACCGCCGCAACGAATTAGCTTGTCGTCATCCATGAAAAAAATCTAGCTGTGTTACTATAGTTGGTCTTCTTGATCTGCTAGATTTGTTTTTTTAACAGGTACTTTATCACTTCTGGGAAATTTTGTCGATGCAAGTGTATTATTAGTTGTCGGGCTGCTACATCCAGCTCGCGTGTTTCTAAAGGTCCACGTATTTTCTCTGAACGTCTACAATTGTTAACAAATCGGTTGACGTAGGCCGAAACACGTAATAGTTTCATATATGAATTATATCTCTGGAAGTCTAGAATCTCTGTAATATTTGGTGTTTGTAATGAGTATCTTGAGGCTGTCAAGACAGTTATTTCACATTTAGGATTGTCACATTCAACAAACTGGTAATCGTTCCTTGGAAATGCTCTCTCATCCGTTAGCCATGTAGGGCCATGCATCCACAATGGATTATTTTGAATTTTTTCGTAGGTAAGTCCTCTCGATAAAAGGTCTGCAGGATTCTCATGAGTCGGGCAATATTGCCATTGAAAACCATTAGACATCTCTTGTATTTCATTTACACGATTTGAAACAAATATCGGTTGTTTCTTGGCTGAAGAAATCCAACTCAACACGATTTGACTATCGCTCCATAGAAATATACTTTTACAGTCAATAACTGACTTTATATGTTGACAAAGTCTTGCTGCAAGAAGTGCTGCACAAAGTTCTAGCTTTGGAACTGTAAGCTGCTTAATTGGGGCTACTTTACTCTTCGCCATGATGAGTATGCTTTCGTTACCGGAAACGAGATATGCGCATGCTCCATACGCTTTAATGCTTGAATCGGCGAAAATATGCAGGCTTTCATCTTTGTGTGTGGATTTTGGGAAATATTGTCGGCTGAATTTTATTCCGGTGGCCTTGACTAAATCTTCTCTTATCTTTATCCATTCCGTAATTATTTCTTCGGGTAAAACCTCATCCCAGTCGAAGTTTTGTTTCCATAGCAACTGTATCAACATCTTTCCTCTAACAGTAATTGGACAGAGCAATCCCAACGGATCAAAGATTGATGACGACTCTTTCAAAATCTCCCTTTTAGTTAATAATAAGTCATTACTTGGGTTTGAAATCTTTGGCGAATACGACATTTCATCGGCTGAAGGATCCCAACGCATTCCCAGGATCTTTGTGACTGTATCCTTGTCGCCGACTTCATCGGACTGGATAATTTTACGTAATTTTGGGTTGTTTGAGCTCCAGGATCTCAAATTAAAGCCTGCTTGCTGGAACAGGTGTCTGCTGTCTTTGTAGAAATCCAACAGTGAATTCTCATCTGGTATACTTGCAAGAATATTGTCTACATATAACGCTTCCTTGACTCGGTCTGTAATGTTACATTGATGTAAATCTAAATGTTTCATAATAACTGCGTTCAGAATGAATGGTGAGCACGTTGCTCCAAAAAGCACTGACTTGAAACGGTATATCTGAAGAGAACTATCTGGATCATTTGGATCTGATAGCCAAAAGAAACGGGTGACGTCACGGTCGTCTTGATGTAGGCTGACGTTTAAGAATGCTTTCTCAATATCAGTGCAGACAGCAAATTTGTTGTACCGGAAACGCAGTAATATTGAAGTCAAGTCGTTAAGTTGTGGTGGTATATTCATCAGACAATCATTTAAACTTGGAGAATTCTTAGATGATCTGCAACTGCAATCATAAACGATACGAATGGGTGTGGTTGCCGAGTCTTTTCTCACAGGATGATGGGGAATGTAGTGTACTTTTGGTCGCGGTAATAATGGGGTCGGGACTAATGTGTCGTCTATACTAGGAGATAATGGCTCTGTAACCTTCTCTATAAATCCTCTCTGTTCCTGCTCGTAAATAATATCTCCATATTTCTTTAGAAGTTCTGGGTCTTTTTTCAATCTATTTATAACATTCATAGTTCTTCGTCGGCTTATGTTCTCGTTACTTGATAGAAAGGGATGGTCATCTTTCCATGGTAATTTGGCAATGTATTGTCCATTACTGTACGTAATACTTTTGTCCTGATACTCTCTTGTTTCTTCAAAGTTTAACTGTTGGTTTGGTTTCTGTTCAACTCCAATGGACTCTACCTCCCAAAATTTCTCTAAATTTACAACATCTTGTGTTTTCATAGTAATAACGTTCATCATGGATACGGGAATCGACGTAGAATTTATTATAGTACCTGTTTTCAATGGTCCTGATAGAAGGTATCCGATTTTAGACAGTATAGCTGTAGGCCCGTCTCCTCTAATAACTTGATCTTGTATAACGTCCCAGTAATGATCAGCACCAATAAGAATCTCGATATCAAAATCTTCATCTCCTGAGACTGGATGTGCGAGTTTGAGCCCTTTCAGGTAAGGAAGGTGACCAGCATGTTTGTGATAAGATTTCAGTGGCATGGAAATTTCAGGCTCTATCAAAACATTTATAGGAATATTTTCTTCTGCTGTTTCTAAATACACGGTTGCTCTGCTTAAATGTCGCACGCGACGCTCTGTGTCTCCGAAACCCGACATGTATAATGTTTCACTTCCGGTGGGCTCCAATTGTAATTTTTGGGCTAGGTGTTCACTTATAAATGAACTCTGGGAACCTTCATCAAATAGGAAATTGGCAGAAATGGAGGTACTTTTTGAGGTTACCATGGAAACTGCTGTCTTTAATAATACAGGACCTGGTGTGGTAGAGTGAGCAGAATGTAATACCGAAGTGGAGTTCTTTTTCTCATTGTTGATAACAGGATACTTATCTGTAGATTTGGCTTCTTTTTCTACTCCACAAATACTAGTATGATGTCTGCGTGAGCATATTTTACACTTGAATTTAGATTTACAGTCTGTAATCTTGTGGTTTCCCAGGCAATTAAAACATAGCCTTCTTTCCTTCACTATCTTCATTCTCTGTTCACGATCTTTACATTTTACACAGTCTATACAAGAGTGATCTCCCTTACAAAACACGCATCTTTGTCTATGTGATCGTAAGTTGTTTGGTATGGGTGTATTTTTTCTTTCTGTTCTACTAGAATCAGATTTTGTTAGAAAAGTTGCTGTCGGAATTAAGTCTTGAGGGGTATTCAGCAAATTTCCAGCGTCTAAAATATTGATTTCATTCAGTATACATTTCATCAATTCGCGCAAAGACCACGACTGTATCCCGTGCGCACGTGTAATGTTTGTTCTGACCTCTGGCGGTAGTTTTTGAAGGATAACAGGTGTAAGTAGTGAACCGTATGTGGTCTCATTCTGATTCAGTGAAGCTAATGCTCTGATATATGTCTCTGTTGTATCATAGAATTTTCTAACACTCTGTATAGTGTACCTGGGTGCTGGAACTTCTAGTAATGCTTTCATGTAAGTTTGGATAATTCTGTCTTTTTGACCATATCTCTCATGTAACAATGAAATAGCCTGTTCATAATTAACATTAGTTAAGGCAAATCCAGCTATTGTTTGCAAAGCCTCATTTTTAAGACACGACTTCAAGTAATTGAATTTCTGTACTCCGCTAAGTGAAAGATTCGTGTGTATAGCAGACTCGTAGGAATCCCAGAATGAACACCAATCAAGGACATTTCCGTCGAACTTCGGCAAATCTAACTTTGGTAATTTGTGATATACTGAGCTTTGAGATAAAGACGGTAAGAAATGCATCTGGGAAGTATTCTCGCTGATACCTGGCGCACAAATCTCGGATGTTTCGCTTGATACGGACGCTTGAAATGGCTGAGCATTAGGGTTAAGAGCTGGGGAATTGTAGTTCAAATTTGAAATTGATACCTTCCTAAAATCATGTATCTTCTGTATCTTGGTCTTTAACATGTATATATACTCATCATGCTCAAGAATTTCTGTTTCTATTTGTTCTTCTTCTTCGTCTTGAAAAGAATCAAGGATCTTTTCGTGAATCTCCGTGATCGTCTGCTGTTTCTGTTTGAGGGAATCAATGATCGTCACAAGTTCCTCGTAATCGGCTGCCTCCCGCTGAATTATCTCGAATTTGTTCAGGAGTCGTGTAACTGCGCCTTTGTGACCCTTCTGTATAGAACGTAATTTTGTTGCCATAGTGTTATCCGGTTCGCGGGACCAAAATGTTGTGTAAACACTAAATAATCAAAAGATTGCACTGGTTCTTCAATAACGTTGTTTTATTTCGATTACCGGAAGTCAACTCATATAATGACGTCAATACAATAACATATAAAAAGGCGCGTCACGCTAAACGTGACGCTAATATTGGCGCAATAACTCTGTACATACATACATATTTACGTAACACCGTTTAAGGTGGAAAAAGACCTTCTTCTATATTGATCGATTATTGTCAACTATATTCCTGATACAAACGTTTATTTATCCACCCACCCAAACAATGTTGAAGATAGTTAAATGAAATATCTTTATATCATCAAAAAATGTTCCCCGCAGGAAACCATTTTACTTGTATTACCAATGATTGTGTTATTCTTTACATTTCAGTTACTGTTAGATGCAGTTCTGTTTGGTGTCATCCCTATAGTGTATGAGTATGAAGGTACCAGTCAAGAGACTCTCAGTCTTAGGCTGGAACAAGTTCTACAGGGCAGAAATGCACAGTGAGTTATTATTAGATTCACTTTATGTTTGATAGAAAACCAGTCAAAGTTTGATAATCAAAGTCATGGATTTTGAAGAGATTTTAATCACAAATGATAATCTGTACTCTCAGCTACTTAGATTCACAAAAAATGCTATGAAGAACTATTTTTGTTACAACAGAGTAGTTAAGTTAGTGTATGTAAAGGTTGAGAAAACAAAGATAATCTTTTATGTCTTAATTTCCTTTACCTCAACCAGTTAGATCAGCAAATTCAATTGGACTTGCAAAAGTTTCTAAAGTTCTATCATAGATTATAAAATCTGTTTTAACACATGACATACTTGCATTAGAATAGAAGGTATATGAAGTATTGTTCACATGTCATTATCATGCACATTTTAGGAGTATAGGAATATTTACACATGCTGAGTTGCCAGGGGAGATTAGACTGGCACATGGATGTAACATCAGTCTAGAGAACATGGATTACCCAGAAGCCCGAGAATTCTTTGAGACTGTGTCTAGTCATGTACTTCCTTCAGAGATGGGAGGACAGTTTGATATATTTGCACCTTTAGCTGCTTCAGGTAAAACTGTGTTAAATTGTATAAGTGTTTAAACTGTTTAAGTGCTAAAGTTTGTGATGTGTAAATATTATGCTCTGTATATAAGTAAATAAACATGGCCCAACAGAAACTAATAATATAGCTTTAACATACAAATATGACTTACTTTTTTCATTTACTCCATGACTCCTATTCAGTTGCTTAGTAATAAAAGATCTATTTATACTTCAAAATAGTAAAAAGATATTATATTACTTATAAAGATTTTTGACAGGTTATATGATCTAATAGAAACAATTGTAAATATAACCTTAGCCGTTACATAAACAACTGTTAATATAAAGCCATAAAACATGTCAGGAATATTTATAAGGAATTTATAATACTGCAAACTTCCTTTTGTAGAGTAAAAAGTCAGATTTCTTCATAAATTGACAGCAGCAGGAATATAAAACTATATAAATGTCATGATTATCCAATAAAAAGCGACATTACAAACTTGCTGTATGATAAATAACTTTATAAATGTGCTTTGATTTTACTTAGGAACTTATATTATTCATAACATTTGTAGAACTGTATTAAAAGATAATCTGGCACTTATGTTATATGTTATTATAAAAAGTTTTGATTTACATATTAGAGTTAGGTATGGAGTTAATGGTACAGCTAACTGTCCTGACTGGAATTCAGTTCTCAAGTCCTACAGGCATCATAGGGCAATACAATCATGGTAAGTCATTTGTGAAAACACATAGTCATTAAAGACCCTGTATGTTGTGATCAAATTGGTTATAAACCAGTCAGTCAGTTGTTAATGCTTAATGAGGGTCCATCCGCCCGTAAGGGCACAAAATGCAGCTTGCGCTGTCGAGTACGGACCCCGGACATGTCACCAGTCATGTCCTTAAAGAGTTAATTTTGAAGCACAAAGTGGTGATAATTTACCTCCATGCAATTTCCACGGAGTATTAGCCAAAGATATGAATTTTGAGCCAAAAGTAGGTCACTGTACGGCGGTCAATGAGAACCTAAATGTACAGTAACCTGTGACAATAGGAAAGGTGTTTAGCCCTGAAAAGGGCTGTTTGTGCCAGCTATAGGCCTGCCTTTCAAGCCGTCTAACCGTGCTAGGGGCTCACGCACCCTAGCACACCATCCTCGTCGACCCAAGCGCCTACTTTGTAGGGCCACTCCCCTCGGCATTAGTCAGGACACCGGCAGCTAACTTCATGAAGTCTATCTAGTTCGTGCCGCCTTAAACGTAACCCCGAGTAGAAGAAACCATGCGAATTTGCCGCCTTAAACGATACACAATCCTTCAATCATCTGCCGATGCCCTGTGCCTTCTCAGCGACGTGCACGCTCTGAGGGGAAGTGAGAAGTGGTTATAAACCACACTAAGTAAAATTATATATATGTACATAATTATGCAAATAAAACAATTTTCAAACATCGAAGAATATGTAAAATATGTACTGCAAATATTTGTGCATTTTATATGTAATCATTTAAATATATGCATTCATTTCTTATTGTAAAATTTGACTTAAACTTTATAGAAAATAAAGTTTTATTACCTCCCTTTTTTTACATGAAATGTTAAATTCGGTAATATCTTGATAAATAAGGCTTTTTGGAACCTACAATGTTGATAAATCTTAATTTGAGCATCATATTTATGATTTAAAACCATAAAAAATTGTGTTACAGGATCTTTAAAATGAAAGTTGACCATTCCTTATATCCTTTACTTTGAAAATATATTGAAAACAGTTACATGAAAAATTCCATAAGATACATGTATGTTTAGCATTAATTTAAAATAAACAAATATAGGGCCTTAAACTGGTTATTTTGCAGTCAACCAGAATCTTGTATATATATGTAAGCTGACATTAAAGCTACATTAAATAAATATGTTAAAATATTTTTGCCATTGGCCTAAAAACCAAGCATTCTACAGTTTCATTAACCTTTTTAAAAGTTAAAGTTTTAAATCTCATCAAATATTGTTCATAAATTAGGATTTTAAATGGAAAACCCCACGGTAACACTAAAGTTTGTATACGAATTTTAACATGCAAATGAAGACTATATAATCATCTTGTGTATGCGCTACGTCACGGTGTTATAGTTGCTATCCGGAACACAGCAAATATAAGATTTTCTTGTGCAAACACACTTTTAAGCTTCACGGTGCACTAGGCCTGTGGTTCAGAAAAAATAATCATCTCATAAAAAGGATTAAATTTGTATGAAAATATCCGTTACAATGCGGAAATATACCGTTAAATAAGGACTGCTACTTATAGTCATGTTTGTTGATTTAATATTGATGTACGGATGATCTGAAGGCGGAGTTTCTAATGCAAACAGAAATTGTACTTCCGAATTCGCCACAATGAGGTTGCACATTTGTATGCTCATTAAACTCATTTTGGTTGTCTGGACACCAAAATAAGATCTGGAGTCGATATGAAACCCAATTTATCAATGAAATGTCGCTATTTCTTTTTGTTATGAAATTTATTTAATGTAACTTTAACTTAGCTGAAATTATTTCACATGAAATTATTTTACATCTAACTTTGTATTTTAGTATAAAATAATTGTTTTGTTTTCAGTGAACACAGAATGGTGTTTACCATATAAAGAAGGTCCCCCACCAGAACAATATTTCTGTACTAGTAAGCTCAATGTCTGGGCAAATACAGCGGACCAGGCACTGGAAGCTTTGGGAAAATGTAAACAGGTTCTAACACCTTACTTTGAGACAGCACATAGAGATATAGCGGCACAGTTAGCAGGTATCTGTCAATGTTGACTTACAAAGTTCTAACATTAAATGTTGGTTTAAACGTATTTATTTAAGCCCAACAAGATCTTGCAACTTATATTAATCACTTTTGAGTTCCGTTCCTGGAACCAACCACTACTGGGGGTCATATGAAGAAACATTGCTGTGACCTGTATAGGGCTCAAACCCATGATCCCTGGGTTGAGAGGCAGACACCCTAGTCACTAGGCTTCGCTCCCCTAACATAAAATGTTGATTATAGATATTTTAAATATGCCTTTGTTATTTATAATTAAATGTGTGGTAAAGCAATTTCAAAAATTATGATTTATGAACAATGAAAGCTTGTTAGATGCAGTTTCAATACTTTAGACATAGCACTGCAATGTAGATATCATAATCATATTATTGAATAGGATTATTACTCCTAAAGTTGCAGAAGGGCACCTGAGGTCTTCCTCTACCAGTAAGCTGGAAAGCCGCCACATGACCTGTACTGCGTTGATACGACTTAAAATGCAACAAAAAAGAAATATTAATAAAAATATGTTACCATTAAAATTAGCAAAAAGTGTTTTCATTAAAATAATTGGACAAAAAAATACATGCCTTTTATGTAATATTTAGATGACTATTTAGTTTATCATTTTATTATTTTCAAGGTGAAGTTATATTTGGTGTTCTCGGGCAAACAGACATACGAGGGGTGAAAAATATTACTACTGCACTGACAGAGGGACTGTGTGAACTTGGCAACCAAAATGGGGTATGCATTTAATATTTTCATTCTTGTGTTCTTAATTAACCAGCAACGAAAATTTAAACATATCAAGTATAAATACAATATTTTTAATAAATCGAAAAATTCTGATTATTGATTCTGTCCTGACAAAGAAAATTGTGATAATTTCTAATCTGATATGTCATGTTCACTGCCAAATTGAATTTTATTTATTTTGTTTGCTATATAAACAAGGAGGTTTATTTTTCAGGTAAATCCATTGGAGTTCCTAGGTGAATATCTTCTACAGAAAGCAGGTGTAAATGACCTCAACTTTACCAGTACTAAACAGGTAAATAATAATATATGCCATGTATCTTCAATATTTCAAGTCTCTAGAACTTAAAAAAACTTTGACTTTTAAAACTTTAAAAAATCTTGTTGTAGGAGAAAAATTTAGAATTTCTCATATATTCAGATACATTGATTAACAAATGTATGTACCTTGATTTACAAATTTATGTACCTTGATTTACAAATTTATGTACCTTGATTTACAAATTTATGTGCCTTGATTTACAAATGTATAAAAAAATTATCCTTTGTATATATGAATTATTTCACACTAATGGTTTAATATGTTATAATATAGAAACTGCAGCCACTCAAGGACAGTTATGATGATGATGAGGAAGAAGTGGAGGAAGAAGAAGAGGATGAAAATCGGGACAAGTTTGATGAGACAACAAGAACATACGCACAGACACGAGACTGGGACCAGGATGAGGATGCCGACGGTGAGGCGAGGAAAGACGAGGGGTCGGAGAAGGAAACAAAGAGACATAGACATAAAGATGAGAAGAGAAAAGTGGTGTTGAGAACACAAGAGATGAGTCAGAAGTTTGGTACTTTGAGAGCTACTGGAAAATTAGAAAGATTGGTAAGTCAGCAGTTATCTAAAACAAAGTCTATACTGCTGCTAATGCTTTTCTGAAAATAATAAGAAGTGAAGTAGGAAACTTAAAAGTTAATAAAAGTTATTTTAGCTGGTACAACCAGCCTGGTGTCATTTCTGTTTTAATTTACAATAGAAACGTTAAAAGTTTAAATTTTTTCTCAACAATCTACATGCATTTGGATAAAAAAGGGGGCTTATATTGTTATGCAAGATAAAACGTAACTTTGTGAGGTTTTGCCCAATTTTAATGGCCTTGTAATAGTGGCGGCATATCACATTACCCTTATCTGTCTGTCAGTCTTGGTGTCCAGGGTGTGTGTGTTCAAAAAACCTTGTCTGGCCACTTACACCTTTAGCCATCAAGGGATTTCAAAATTACTTGGCACAAATGTGTAGCATGATGAGATATGCAAGACCAAGACCCCTATCACCAAGGTCAAGACGTTTTTGGGAGTTTTCATATAGACATATAGGCAAAACAAGAATGGTGATCCCATTTTTTTTTCTCAATTAAAATGTTTCTGTTATCATATTCTAACAACATGCCAAGTTTAAAGAAATTCTATTGAACAGTTTTTAGTTTTGCCTATATGTCTATATGAAAACTCCCGAAAACGTCCTTAAAGATCAAAGGTAAGCAGTTAGAAAATCTTGTCTGGTCCATAACTCTGTCATGCATCAAGGGATTTAGAAGTCAGTTGGCTAAAGTGTTTAGCATCTGTCCTATTGTAACATCTTAATTCATATTATTTGATGTCTTAATATATAAAGTGGTAGTTGTGTACACTTTCTTTTATAAATTTTGTATATTTTCACAGACAACACAGAAATATAGTGATCATCCTGAGAAGAGAACACCTATCGCCATGGAGATGGTCTCTAGTGAAGTGGAGTACAACAGAGTACTGACTGCCATCAAAAATGTCTACTTTAAACCTCTAAATGCTGCTCTTAGATCTAACAGGTCGGTATTTTGGTCAGGTCAAAAAAAAATATATATATAGTCATATGATCTACTTGGAATTAAAGGTAATATATTAACTGGTCATATGTGCAGTTGTTTCATACACCTTTTAAAAATATATAAAAGGAAAGGACATTTGTATTCTTTTATATGTTTCTTGTCCTTCTGTAACATCGGATCAATACTTTAAATGTAGAGGATTGAATATAAACCTGAGCAGAGAATATGAGAAATGTTACCATTATCTTCAATAAACAGACTAAAAAAGAATTGAGTCTGTGATTTTTCCTTGTTGACAGGGGATTTCCTCGTTCTATAATTTTTGTTTGAATTTTCAATAATAAAAAGGTTTTATGGTGTGTATTTCAGAGCAATTATCAGTAATCAAAATCTACAGATTATTTTCACGGATGTATTGGCTATACTTGACATCAGCAAGTAAGTTAACCTTTTTTCTCCATTTACAGTTTTGAGAAAACATTATCATTTTTGTACCTTGTAAATGATTTGTTAAAAAGATAGACATCAGTCAACTGATTTACTACTATTATCTCATAATGAGGGTAGATTTTTTTTATTGAGTTTACAAACAAGTTTAAATACTTGATATACGAGTGAATTTAAATATTAAAAGTATTGCAGCATGGAAATCATAAACTTTGATATTTGAAGTGTACTCATTCTTTATTTGTTAAAATATTTCTGTATGTTAAAAGAATTATTACCATTTATGTCTTTATACTTGAAATTATGAACATTTTCAGTGATTTAAAGGACAATCTTCAGAATCGTTTGTTAGAGTGGGATGCCCAGGAAACGTGTGTTGGAGATATATTTGTCAAGTTCTGCACAAGGTTGAAGGTTTATACAAACTTTGTGAATAATAACGAGGTTATTCTCCGCTGTATAGAGAGATCTAAAGAACAGACACCTGCATTTAGAGCTTTCCTGGCGAGAAATGACAGGACACCCGAGACTAAGATGTTAACGTAAGTATATATTGTTATAACTACGTTGTTCTGAGTTAGATTTTAAAATATTTTTGTCATAAACTTGTGTACATAGAACACAGTCATAAAATTCTTGCACTCTCTTTACTTAGCTAATTAATTTGTAAGGCTAAATATAAGTTAGATATTTTACTGAAGATGTATATGAATAAATGTATTAAGTACTAAAATGTATCTTAAACATGACTGTATTCTTTTGTTTTCAGAGCTTAGTATGAAATGTAAAGAAAGATTTAATTTTATAAATGCCAGTTACATCTTGCTCAAAAAGAAAGAAAAAAAAAAAGACTTACAAATTATATTAGTTTCATTGCTTATTTTCTTTTTTCAAAACAATTTGTTCCGAAACATTATTTCTCAGTAACTTACTTTTAAGACACATGCTAGATTTGCTTCATAGATAATATAATACTGTCAATTTATATGTAAATATAAGAAATATTATATATTCAGACTACAGGAGATGTTGTTACTGCCATCAAGGAGGATAAATGAGTATGTAACATTATTGAGCTGGTTCGAGCTTCACACGCCCAAGTCACACCAGGACCGAGCTGACCTCGCCGATGCTATAAGTACACTCACTGAACTAGAGAAATGTATAAATGAGGTACACCTAAAAATTTGTTCATTCATATTGTCACTATAGAGTATTGAAGTACACAAATGCCAATAAATGACAAATATGGAGCAAATGTATCATAAATATAGGAAATAAGTTTGTAATAGTTATAATGCCTCTTTACAGGATCTCAGCAGCGCAAAATGCCATCTTTCTATGTCTGTTTAAAGTTACTTATAGCAGTGGATGAATTAGTGTTTATATGTATTTGATACAATGATTGTATCAATTTACTTACCATTTGTATAATACAGTGTAAAATGAGGATGGAGAGAGACAAGGAGCTGATAGAATTACAGAGAAAAATACAAAACTGCCCGGTAAGTTCACCTCTGTCTGATACTTACTTAAACTCTTTCAAAAAACAACAGCATAGAGCTAGAACAGCCTGCTCTTCTTTGCAATCTAATGAGACTTTGTACTACTGGCAGTTTCAGTTTAGTGTCTTGGTTTTTGATATAACCCCTCATGTTCACAATTAGAAGATCCAAAAATATCAAAGCAGGACAAGTCCATTTTGTAAATTCAGCAAGTGTTAAACTTGTTCATTTAAGCTGCAACTGGTAACATCTTACCAAATGTTGCTTTGGGTTTATATTAGGATTTCCTGTGCTAGTACTGCTTCTGTTTGTTACTTGATATGTTGTCATAATTTGGTAAGGTGCTCATAAATGAATGAAGATCTTTTGAATTAAAACTTTCAAGGGATTTAAAGTATTAGTGATGAGGTAACCGCAGTCATCAAAGAGAACATTTTTTCTTTTTAACAACTGTTAGATTTTAACTTCCATCTTCTTACAAGGAGTAAAAAAAGATGTAACTTTGATATTAAAGATTATGTTCAGCTTTTAAAGAAGCTACATTGCAAACCCTATTCATTTTGCAAGATTTTGATACATCGTAATTATACTTTCCTGTGATCCATTATCTTAAGTTTAACATTATTTCTGGAAAAAAAACAGTATTATATAGCATGTATATATTACAGGCTTTGTTGGAAGCTAACAGATACCTGATTAAACATTTAGATGCAAAGCAACTGAATCCACCAAAGAAATCTTCAGAAATACCAGAATTACAGTAAGTTTACACTCATGATAATTGTTACAAATTAAAGTAATGAAATATTTTTGTAGGAAAGACTAGTTGAAAATTTTTTATTTTTTCTATTCTTTAAAACACACAAACAACATTTAATCAATGATAGATATACTGTACTTGAAGTTTTGGTGTATGATAATGGATTTAAACATGACGTGTTTATGAATGTATATGGCATATAGCCCCAAGTACATTTAACTCTCTATATATAACAAGATTTTATATATAGGGGCGGCCCTGGCCAAGTGGTTATGGTCCTTCAAACCACTTGCCCCTCACTGCTGTGGGTTCAAATCCTGGCAGGGACTTTACATTGTTTTATGCAGGGAAGCTATCCAGACTAGCTTACAGAACGTTGGTGGTTCTTCTCAGGTGCCCGTTTATGCCTGAAAAAATACACGGAAAGGCAACTGAGGTCTTTCTCTTCAAGTATAACTGGAACATCGCCATATGACCTATACTGTGTTGGTGTGACGTAAAACCCAATCAAACAAACAAACAAAGACATTATCTATGTGTACAAAAAATAATAATAAACTTAACCTCACCAACAAGAATAGTATTTGAAAATCAAATGGTTAAGAATGTATAAAAATTTAAGGTCAGTAATTGGAACATATTTTTTACATTTTTCTATATATATCATAGGGTTTACCAGCATGCTGCTATATTTGGATTGTTTTTGTTCAATGATGCGCTTGTGTTGACACGAAGAACATCTAAAAACTTTCCGTTCAGTCGAGCGATTGAGTACAACTTCAAGTTTGAGGCCAGTGTCTCCCTCAATAGACTGCGTGTACATGACATGCCAGATTCTAAAGGTTTGTAATGAGTTACTTCTGGTGAAATATACAAATTATCTTGACTATCAAGCTTAAACAAGTAATATTTAAATAAATGAAATTCGAAATATATTAGTACAAAATATATGTGTATATTGTAAAACATGATTTGGCTTCATATTTGCTTATATAGATCAATGAAAATAAAGTCCATGCATTCTGACTTATTTACTTATATCAGTTCAGTCTGTTTTCTTAAGAGTTGTCTGATTTGTCATACCCTATAAGTAGATTTAACATTAAAATGCCCAACTGTATCAGCATTTATAATATAGTTACAGACTCTTTCCTGAATTAGCTGTGTTTTGGTATTTGTTTCAGACTTGAAGAATGCATTCAAGATGGAAACCCCAAAACAACAGTGGGTATTCTCCACAGAAACATCAGAGGAGAAATTTAACTGGATAAGCTTAGTGGAACAATCAGTGCGCGCTGCCTTACAGGGTTAATCCAACATGTCAAATAGAATCCGGTGTCTGAATCTTGCAATTATTTAATTTGAAAACATTGTACAATTTTAATTACGCATAAAAACAGTTATCAGGGATTTTATTAATCTTAACTGCCATACTGTCCTAGATATGAATATCTATGTTAATTTCCTGATGTTTATACCTATAAAAAAGGTAATATATTTTTAGATAGTAAATTATTGCATTACATAAATGAGTGGTATTTCGTAGGGCAATCGCTTGAATTAATAACACACAACTCATGCAATAAAGCTGTAAGTGGTAAAGTTATGAGTATTTATGGCAATTGCTGTATAGTTTCAAATCTAATGTAAGAATGATTCTTTTTAGAAAGGGCTGTCACCTGGGCTTTTCAGCTTTAAAAAGAATCTGTGTCACTTCAAAAGAAATCTTATCTTCATTATTTGAATATTCATGTGCTTGTTTGTTTTCTAGGTTTGTTTCCAAATTGACATTAGTTTCTAGCTTCCAGCTGGCATATGTTTTTGAAGTATGAAGTCCATTGTAATAGTTATAACCATTGACGTTAGATAATAGCTTTCTCTACTGTATTATTTTTGAAGGCTTATTGAAGATAGACTGTGATAGTGTTTAGTGTGATTTAAGTTATTTGTTATGCAATGCTACATATTATATTTACTGCCAATTAGTAATCCAGTATTAAAATTGTATGTAGTTTTTTTCTGTCATTTACATGTATTTATATAAATTTGCACATATCATTGTTTGTTAAATGTAGTGTCCATTGACTATTGTCCTGTCTGAAAATATTTTGTACAATAGTTTACAAAATGTGTAGTTGTATATAATTAGAATTATTCATATTTAGCTGTGATATGTTTCAATGTAACAAAACTTACAACTGTATGTTAATTGCTCTTCTAATAAGCTTTAACTAATAAGCAAAAAACTCCAGACAAAATTCTATAATCCATTTCCACATAATATTTATATGAAACATTTTATTTAAAACAGCATGCCTCCAGATTCATGCTTATTATCATGAAAATTTTGAAAATGTACCATAGTTACACGCAAAATATTTCGAAAATGAACAAAGGAAGTGACTGACATTGCAGTTATACCTACAATCCACACTGCAGTAACAATAAAATCTGGTAGCTTAGTTTCCCTATTATCATAGTCTCTTGTCTGGTTGTTTAGGTTACAATATTGTTATAGGTACAAAAAGTATTTCTATAAAGATGAATTTTCAATGTATACCATAGCTATTTGACAATATTTTGCATTATGTTTTATTTATTATGCCACCGCAGCATCTGCAATGTGGTGGCATATAGCAATTCACCTGTGTGTGTGTGTGTGTATGTGTATTCTATAGATTATATAGTGAACTTAAAAAATCTTCTTGTGAAAAACCACTAGTCCAATTTCAACCAAACTTGGCAGGATTGATCCTTGGGTGAAGGGCTTCCAAAGTTGTTCAAAGAATTTCATTCCATGCAGAAATCTGGTTGCCATGGCAACCAAAAGGAATTATAAGAATAAATTTAAAAAATCTTCTTGTAAAGACCCAAAAGGCCTAGAGCTTAGATATTTTTGCATAAGGCATTGTCTGGCAGACCTCTACCAAGATTGTTCAAATTATAGCCCTGGGGTCAAAATCGGCCCCGCCCCGGGGGTCATTGATTTTCACTATATGTACATATAGTAAAAACTTAAAATACCTTCTTGTCTGAAGGTACAAGGCTTAGAGGTTTGATATTTGGTATGTGTTATTATCTATAGGTACTCTACCAAATTTTGCCTCTATTGTCAAAATCAGCCCCGCCCCGGGGGTCATAGGTTTTCCTTATATGTATATAGTAAAACTTTTAAAAAAATTCTTCTAGCAATTGACAAATGCTAGAGATTAGATATTTTGCATGAAACATTGTGTAGTTCACCTCTACTAAGATTGTTCAAATTATAGCCCTAGGGTCAAGATTGGTCCCACCCCAGGGGTTATTGATCTTCAATATGTACATATAGTAAAAAATCAAAAAATCTTATTGTCTGAAGGTACAAGGCTTAGAGCTGTAATATTTGTTGTATGATATCATCTTTAGGTACTCTACCAAAGCTGTTCTAATTTTACCTCTAGTGTCAAAATTAGTCTGCCCCGGGTTCATAGGTTTTCCTTATATGTATATAGTTAAAACTTAAAAAATCATCTTCTCTAAATTGACAAAGGCTAGAGGTTAGATATTTTGCATGAAACATTGTGTAGTGAACCTCTAGCAAGATTGTACAAATTATAACCCTGGGGTCAAAATTGGCTCCACGCCCGGGGGTCATTGATTTTCATATAGTAAAAAATCTAATTGTCTGAAGGTACAAGGTTAGAGCTCTGATATTTGGTATATAATATTATCTATGGGTCCTCTACTAAAGTTGTTTTAATTATGCCCCTAGTGTTAAAATTGCCCTGCCCCAGAGGTGATGTTTTCCCTCATATGTATAAAGTAAAAAACTTGAAAACTCATCTTCTCTGAATTGACAAAGGCTAGAGGTTAAATATTTGGCATGGGACTTTGCGAAGTGAACCTCTACCAAGATTGTTCAAATTATAGCCCTGGGGTCAAAATTGGCTCCGCCAAGGGGTCATTGATTTTTATTATGTACATATAGTAAAAAAATAAAAAATCTTTTTGTCTGAAGGTACAAGGCATAGAGCTTTGATGTTTGCTATATAATATCATCTATAGGTCCTCTACCAAAGTTGTTCAAATTTTTCCCCTGGTGTCAAAATTGGCCCTGCCCGGGGGCATTGATTCTCTTTATATACACAAAGTAAAAACAGAAACTAAAACAAATGTTTTCTGAATTGGAGAAAGCTACAGCTTAGATATTTGACATGAAATGTTGTTTGGTGGACCTGTAGCAAGATTGTTTTGAATTAAACCTTTGGGTCAAAATTTTTCCTTGCCCAAGGGAACAGTGACCTACTATCTTGTCCTTGGATGTACAGCAATGAAAGTTTGACCATTTGCACAGTTTTAGTTGTAAAATTGAACTTTGATATCAGGTGACCTAGATTTTGATAATGTGACCTACTTTCTTGTCCTTTGATGTACAGCTATGAAATTTGAACCATGTGCACAGTTTAAGATGTAAAGTGAACTTTGATATCAGCTGACCTAGATTTTGACAAAGTGTCTTACTGTGTTGTCCTTTGATGTAGTCATGAAATTTAGGCTGTGTGAAATATGACCTTCACCACCCAATTCACTAGACTGAACTGCATTGATATATTCCTACTCTGATCTTTTATTTGAATAACAATAGATTTAACCACTAATCTGATAATAAGAATTAGATAGGTCTGGGATCTATGCATTATGACAATCTTCAATTGTATAGAAACAAAAAAATCTGTTCCTACACTACTATTTAGTGTAGTATTAATGCGGTTGCATAGCATTTTTCACAAATGCAATCTTGTTTTGCTTACTATTATTGTATGCATGTTTTATAAAGCACTCTGTGATAATAATTTGCACTTTTAACTGTCTAGATACATTGTGATGTATTTAAATTCTTTGTAGTGCAATTAATAAGAATCTTTTATATTTTTATTAACATTTTCATTTAGAATTCCATGTTATTATATATGCAGAATTTGTTGTAGCTTGAATGTGCATGGTCTCCTAGCACAGTTATATACATGTAGCCATTATTCTGGTAGCAGGAATAATGACTGTGAATGACACAAGAAAAGAGCCATGTCAGAATTCACATCTAAAGCCTGACAGACTCTAGTTGGTGGTATTGGTAGTTTTTACGTAATCCACATTGAATTTATCAGAGCACATTTCAGCTACCACACCATTCCTGGGCAAGCAGTTTACCAGTACTCGTTGCCTTCACTTTCGCAAAGAACTGAAACTTTTGTACATGCCAGAGCAGTCAGGTTCAATGCAAATGACCATAGAAAGGATATCATGATCAATCACAATGAAAGTGACCTGCAACGTCCGGAAATTGAACTTGGATCGCCCGATTCACAGACCAACGTTCTACCTATTAAGCTAACCGGACAGCTCTATGCTGTTGGCGAATCTATTATGATATAATCTCCATTCAAAGAGACTCCACTTACTTTATTTGTCATGATAGGACTGGAAACAGTTTTTTTTTTTAGATTTGCGTAGCATTTGATGTAGGTTTGGACCAATGACTTTCTCCCAATAGGCAATTTTTCAGAATAATAATTTTTATTATGCAAAATTATCCCAAAAATGTAAAGCATTGCAATGCTTTTCAACCAAATTGGGCCCAGAATCTCTCAAAGTATGAATTTCAAATTTAATTTTTTAGGCTTTTTGATGTCATTGGAGCTCTTCAAGATTTAGTGTTATTGTTGTTTTTAGTGATAATGTTTTCAGCCTAGCAATATATGAAATGAAGTGATATTTATTTATACATTTTGTGTATTTTGTTTTGCTTCTGTTCTTATGATTGTTATTATATAGGGTGCTTGTTGGTTTGTTATGTTTGAATCCATGATTGTTTTGTTTGTTTTTTTATTTAATATTAAAGAAATTAAGTTTACACAGACCATCTCACAAATCACAGTTTCATTTGTTGTTTTTTTTCATTTTTACAATTATGAAAAAAAAAATGTTTGTTTTGGAAGAAGTTGATCATGATTTTAGCACTGTTGGTGTTTATACTCTTTCCTTATTATTTCCATATTATCTAAATGTGTCAAGCAAAATGCATTTGAAAGACTTTTTGTTACTGATAATGTTTTAATGCATTTATTGCAAAAATTGCTTTATTGTGTTAAAGAATTTACTTTATCTCTTTAGTTTGATACTGAAAAATTTCTTTAAATCAATTTCTGGCTGCAAAAAATATGCATATGAAAAATTAAGCCAGACTGGCATACACAATTCACCTGCACTACTGGTTGCTTTGATATCGATAACTCAAACAAAAAAACAGGTCAAAAACATGTATACTCTCCTACTTTTTATTGTGTCGCCTTGAAAAGGTGACATATAGGGGTTACTTTTGTCGGCGGTGTCGGCGACGTCTGTGTCGGCGCCGTTGTCGGTGTCCCCTAAAGCTTGTCCGGAGCATAACTCAGGCACTATAAGTCTGATTGACTTCAAACTTGGTATGCATGCTTCTTTCAATAACCCGAAGTGCAGTGCACAAGGACCGGTACTCTGCAGTTCTTATTTTTTGAGTTATTGCCCTTTGTTAATTTTCATACTTTAATTTTGTCCGGGCCATTTCTCTTCAACTAAAAAAGCCATGGACTTGAAACTTCATAGGATGATAGATCTCATTATTAAGAAGTGCAGTGCACAAGAACCAGTACTCTGCACTTCCTAATTTTTGAGTTATTGCCCTTTGTTAATTTTCATACTTTATTTTTGTCCGGGCCATTTCTCCTAATGTATAAAAGCCATGGACTTGAAACTTCATAGGATGATAGGTCTCATTAAGAAGAAGTGCAGTGCACAAGAATCGGTACTCTGCATTTCTTAATTTTTGAGTTATGGCCCTTTGTTAATTTTCATACTTAATTTTTGTCCAGGCCATTTCTCCGAAAGTATAAAAGTTATGGACTTGAAACTTCATAGGATGATAGATCTCATTAAAAAGAAGTGCAGTGCATAAGAACTGATACTCTGCATTTCTTATTTTTGAGTTATTGCCCTTTGTTGATTTTCTTACTTTATTTTTGTCCTCATGGTCATTTCTCCTCAAGTATGAAAGCTATGGACTTGAAACATCATAGAATGATAGATCTTATTGATAAGAAGTGCAGTGTACAGAAACTGCTGCTCTGCACTTATTATTTTTTTAGTTATTGCCCTTTTTTATTTTTCATATTTCATTTTTGTCCTGGCCATTTCCCCTAAACTACATTGTTCACAAGGCGACACATCCGACTCGCGGAGTTCTAGTTAGAATATTCTCTTTTTCCTTTTCAATGAAATTTATTCCTAGGAGTGTGATGGGACTTAAACATAAATTTTTTTAATAAGTTTATGGAATAAGCTTATAAGAAAACTCCAGTTATTATCAGAATTACTGAAATTCTTCTGCATAAATTGTAACATACCAGTAACTATATTCTTATATTTTCATTCTTTATAAATTGTACACCTGTAGAATCTTTATACTATAATGTATTGACCTATTAAACACTTTATAACTGTTTGTTGTTGTTTCTGTTGTGATATGTAGACCCAAATAGCCGAGAGCATTAAGAAAATTCCCCACTTGCCCCTCACCGCTGTGGGTTCGAATCCCATTCATGTGAAAAAGCTTTCCAGCTAGCTTACTGAACATCTGTGGTTCTACTCAGGTGTCTGTCAGTGCCTGAAATAATGCACAGAAGGGCACACAAGGTCTTTGTCATCAGTAAAGCTGGAACATTGCCATATGACCAATACTGTGTTGGTGTGACGTAAAACCCAGTCAAACAAACAAGAAAACTCCAGTTAAAGATAAAGAAAACCCTTTTCTTTAAAATGCCTGCTAGATGATCTCCAGATAGGTTTTAAGAGGTATGAAAGATATTCTAAATTTATTGTCACTTGGCAGTCACTCAAATTGCTGTTGATCTGTATCCAGAAAGGGACAATGATTTTGTTTCATGTGAAGATCAGTAAGCTTGAAGGTATGCATAAACACTGTTTCTCTGTGACCTTTAAGATAGCTGTGCAAGCCTTGATAAGTTATTGTTAAATCTTTAAAAAAATTCATAAAAGAATCCTAGTCCAGACAGAAGTATGCCTGTCAACATTTAAAAAGTGTGACTTTATCTTTGACAGAAAACAACAGAACTTCTACACATCTGTACAATGGTTGCTTCATTTAATTTTAAAAGCCCTAAACACACTAGAAAAATGACAGAACTAACAAAATGATGGCATATTTATAGGAGTTAGTATCCTTTGCATTAAATTTCAAAATAGGGATGTAAGTTTGGCACACATTTATCTTCATGTGCGGAACATGCAGTTCTTGAGATATGAAGCTGCATGCAGAACCTTCTCAGGTAAGCAGAATGCCCTTGCATATCAGACAGGTGTTACAACTAGTTTTACCCTTGCTGGAAATTTCATATGGCATGTGGGTGCAAGATAAGTTTCATGCTTTATGTCATTTCAATACATTTTATAATGTAACCTACATCATTTCACTGTTGTAAATCCATACACATCTGTAAAGAAAGTGACAGGTGAAATGACTTAAATTTCCATGAAAACTTAAATTATTCAAATAGCCCATTATTTCAAAATATGCATGAAAATTACCAGCCTAAGTCTTGTTACTGTCTCATAGGTTTGTACCTTCGGGATGGATATTCCCATTTGAAACTTCAAAACACAATACATGACAATTATTACTATGAATAGTTGAGCTTAAAATGCTCAAGAGCTGGAAATTATTATATTACGTCGGTGAATATCACATCATATTCAATATCTCACCAGTCAATAATTATATAGTATTAAAAGATAACAAGATTTAATTGGTCAGAAATGTTTATATATACATTAATAATACATGACCTGCATTATAAATTTACATAATAAATTTGTAAATATGAACACATTTCAAAAATTCAGTAGCAATACAATGTTGTAAAATCTAAAATAAAACTGTACAATGTATGTTTTATAAATCCCCATAAACACTAGAATGAGAAGTATGAAAGAAACTTTGTAAATCATATGTGTGTAATATATAATGTTGCTAAATGATGATACTAATTGTCCCAAGTTTGAAATGAAATAATCTAAAATATGTTATATTAATATATTACGTTAGCAAAATTCAATTACTGTGGAGAAAAATAAAATATAAACATGATCATTATTTCAGATTTGTGTACAACATGATATTAAATACAACAATATTAATATTCAATATGTAACCATGAATTATTTACATACTCCATATATGTCTGGGTTTCTTGCAATTACAATCTTTTTCTGTTGCAGGGCTATTAACCAGAGTGTCTGTAAATTTGGTAATAAATCAGCTGTATTAATGGCCAGACATTGGTCTGAGGTAAAGATTTCATAAAAACAAAATCATCATCACTGCAGTGATGAGACATGATCCTCTTAAAAATTACCTAATTCTGATCACATTTATTAATAAACTAACAGTTAAAGACCAATGGTATTAGGCAAAGTGCCTTCAATTAAATCATCAAATAAAAAAACACATACCTCAATGGTCACCAAATTAAACTTTTCAATAAAGCTCTGTGTACAAAACTAACCAAGCAAACCCTTTCATATAAAATAATGCATATATGTACAAATATTTACAAAAAAAGCCTGTCAATACAGGAAAATATATATATTTAGAATTCTTAGAATTCCATACACTCCCTTAAATCACTAACACATAACCTTCAAATATGAAACAGAATTTCAAATAAGCTGTCATAAAAGTGGGTTTTTTTTCAATCATTACAAAAAAAGAAAGAAAACAAAATGTTGTATTTTGTTAAAAAAAACTATTTCACGATATAACTCTGAAGTTTTTATAGATCATGTAAAGAAAGCAGAGAGAGTACAAGTAGAATACATGTATATTCTGAAAAACAATATTTAAAACTGACAAATGATATGTTCATTTTTTGTGTCCATCCTGCTGAATATGTATAATGCACTTGTCATGTATATAATTTTGAATTATACATTGTTCATTTAAATTACCGGTAATTACAAAAATATTTTAATTGAGCAGTAAAACTGGCCAAAGTACAGGCTACCCGGACAATATATTTAATGACACACACCTTTTATTTCACGGCCTACACTTAGTGTACAACACTATACTTTTGCTCTATTTTAAGGATCATAAATTCACTGTCAAAAACAAAGAGCATAGTTTATTACTAATAATGCTGATTTATAAACATGAAATGGATCAACAATATTAAAATGCAAATGGTAATAAAGTCACTTATTTTAAAAACATTAAAAATGAGCATTATGAGATTCATTAGACAAGATCATGCATAAAATAATTATACAGGTACCGTTTAACATTTTCCAGATATTATGGTATAATGAAGAACATCATTATTAAATGTATTTCAAATTGTAAATTCTAACACTATCTGGAATATTTTTTATATGAACATATTCAACCTACACTTTATTCTAAAATGAAACAAGCAATTATCATAGTATTGCAAGCAATCCATAAGTCCCCTACCGGATAGAACCCCATCAGCATTCTGAAGGGCCATTGGCCATTCACTAATGTGTAAATTTTTCTCTATTTTAAGTAAATTTGTTGGAAATGTTCTTTAAAAGTGATCACAGGAAAAAGTTTTTATGAACAGACAGACAGACGGACTAAAGGACACTCTAAAGTTAATATTTGAAACATCCCTGTTACCAAAATATAACATTTTAAAAAGCAAAATTCTTAAAGAGGAGATAACTCTGGAATTAAAGATGCAATTTCATAAAAAGTTTCAGCTCTTTTTGACTAATCACAAATATTGTTATATTTGCCATGTTTTAAGCCTATTTGTTGCCAAGGCAACCAATATTTTTTCAAAATAGGAAGAACAGATAAGACATGCATAATCTCAATACTGCTATCTACCCACATGTCAAGTTTCATAAAAATATTTCCAGTACTTTTTGAGTTATCACTGGATTCAGTTTATGTGTAAAATTTGCCATATTTTCAGTCTATGTGTTGCCATAGCAACCAGAATTTTCAACATAGGAAGAAACGAAAAAGACGTGTATAATCTCCAGACTGCCATCTACACATATTACAAGTTTCATAAAAATATTTCTATTACTTTTTGCGTTAACATTGGATCCAGTTTATGTGTAAAAATTGCCATATTTTCAGTCCATTTGTTGCCATAGCAACCAGAATTTTCAACATAGGAAGAAAAGAAAAAGACGTGCATAATCTCCATACTGCCATCTATCCATATATCAAGTTTCATAAAAAAATTTTCAGTACTTTTCAAGTTATCGCGGGATCCAGTTTTGTGGACGGACGGACTGACGGACGGACGTTCTCACAGGAGAGTAATTATGTGGCTACTCTATTGTTCTCTCTATTGTTCTTTTTAGCCACGCAAAAGAAAATAGCCACATAAAAGCATTACGGAATGAATGACATCAAAGAGAACCTATTGTCCCTCTAGCCACATAATTACTCTCCTGTGAGTGCGGACAGACAGACGGACGGACGGACAGACGGACGGAGGGTAAACCTAAAGTCCCCTCCGGTAAACCGGTAGGGGACTAATAAAGCTATCATTATGTATACATGTACTTAAATATAAATGTATATGCAAAGTAATTACTGTATGGTTGATAACATAAGTTAGTATGTGTAAATGTGGGACCATCAAGATTTCAATTAGAAATATTTTGCAAGTTTTTAATTTCTTTTCCATTTAAATATTTGTGATAACAAAATGTTAATGTAAGGAAACAAGATGAATGATTATCTTATATATCAATATTTGATAGACTAAAAAATCTTTAATCAACATTAACATAAACATGTTTTAATAAACATTCTGTACAAATGTTCATACCAAGAGAAGTGGGATGCCACTTCAGCTTCAAATTACATGTATTGCAACACATCAAGGCAATATTAAAAGGAAACTTTTTTTCACTAAAATTTTGGCTAAAACCCAAGTTAATACCCTGTAAAAATGATTATGTCTCATTGTGTACAAGACGAAGCATAAAATAGACTCAACTTTGCATTCTTAATGCAAAAATTGAATCAATTTAATACAGCTGTCTCTCATTGTATATAGAATGTAACCAGTAACTAGGATGTACCAAAGTATTTCTGTCCAAAATGGTTAGGTGCAACTGGGTGAACCTCTGAAGTCAAAATTGATAGATCTGGAAATTTTGAAATGATTGCCTTGGCAGCTGAAAAATAAAAGACAATAAACTATTGTTTAAGAGTGAAGAGTTTTTTTAAGCTAAAGCAAAATATCTTATCTAAACTCTACTTCAGTTTCAATGTTTTGCCAAAATTCAACATTAAATTAAAATTTTGACTTTATTGACCAGAATGTGGTAAAGGTGAATGTGGAAAAAAAAATAGTGTGTACATACAAAATAACTCTATACATTCCATACACATTACTATAAACATTTTTTCTTTTTGTTGGCTTTCAAGTCGCACACTACAATAGTAAGGTCATATTACAACTTTACAGCTTTACTGGTAAAGGAAGATCTTAGGTGTTCCCCTCTACACATTATTAAGGCAAGAGCAGGCATCCAAGGATGACCTACGACCACCCATAAGCTAGCTGGATAGATTTCTCACAATAGCTGTTACATGTATTTGAAACAGTGAAATGAAATAAAACTGCACAGAATATTAAACTTTTATGTTATCTTTGTGCTTGAGCAGAAAGTCATGCTTGTTAATTGGCAGATTTCACATCATTTTCTATAAAGTATTATATACATGTAGGTGTGTCAGTATAAATTGTACTACTGAATATTCCTAGTGTTTTTTATACTGGGACTCACCTGGTTTTCTGAGTAAGGAGAAAAAAAACAACTTCTCAACATATTAAAATCATTAGAATAATATAGCTGCCAAAAACAGACTAAGAAATGTTGCTTCAAAGCAAAACATCTCTTGAAACAGAGCTCAAGAATTTAAGAACATCCTGTATTACAAGGTGTTTCCCATATGAAACAAAATGCAGGATCATAAAGAAATGTATCATTACACTGCTTCAGTTAATGACTGAAATATTTAAATAATTTTTACCTTGTGGAGTAATGAAGAGATTCAATAAAATGATATTTTTCTCTTGTACTTTACTCTGCTTCAATACATTGAGAGCTTTGATCACAGTGTTACCAGTACCTGTAACAAAAATTAAAACATGAATATAGGCAGCGAACAACATAACATTAAATATAATTTTGTGAATTAACTAAACTTCATAGGCATGAAATTTTGTGGTTTTGCCACAAAGAACATTTTCACAGGTTATTAAATTTGTGGACTGTCTATTTTTCCAAAACATTAAATGTAAATAATGTGATGCAGCAGACAAAATGAAACTGACCTATCCTCTAAAACATTGAAAATTAGTGCCCCATGAAAAATAATGATGTTACAGTATACAAATACATGTACACTGTGAAGGAGATGTTTTAATCTGTTTAGTATTTAGATATGATTGATGGGTTTACTCTGGCTTCTTTCCTTTTCCTAAAGATTAACACTCTTATAAATATATCATTGTTTATAACAAAACATTAATGTGCTGAAGAATGTTATCTACATTACTATCTATCTACATTACTGTCTTTTTTTACAAATATCTAGCAGCCCTTCCAAATGTTTATAAATGTTAGTAAAAATTTAAGTAAACTGGAACAACATAAAAGTTTAAGCAAAATCTTTTAAAGACAGCACTTCATTATAGAAGATGTGGTTATCACATTTTAAAAACAATTTATACTTTATAATAATTTTATAATACATTTCTTTCTTTTAAAAAAAAAATCCAATGATGCCTTATATAGTCATCACCAAAACCCTTTCAAATCTTGTTTCCCCCAGTCTCTCAAATACTGATGCCTCAAATATTGTCGTCATCATCAAATCTTTTCAAACAAATAATCTTATTTCCCAAAGTCTCTCAAATATTGTGAGTAAAAATCTCTTCAGATTATAAAGAAACACACTGGCAATGAGAAAATATGGTTCAATACTCACTCATAATAGGATACATAAGTAGAACTTTTCTGTTCTCTATGTCTGGTGGTAACTTGGAATAAACAACTTTAGCATCATGAGTGTCCTCATCACTATGTATCAAGATCTTTCCTATCCTTATTGATCTACAACAATCCCTTAAACCTTGCTCCATGGCTTCCCCTGAAGTTATACAATCTTACATTTAAGTAAGAATACTTGTGACCATATTCTTATCTCTCTTCATTTTAACATATACATTGTATTATTTGTTATAAAGATTTTTTACTTATTTGTTATAAAGGGTTTTGGCAAGTTATATTTCCCAGTGTAAATGAATGCACGCATATATAACACAGGCCTTTAAGGAAAGAGTTATATAACATACAACCATTTATACATAGCCATATAACCTGTCCAAGTCTTTAAACCAATTTATAATACTGCACAATACCTCTGATTACAAAAACAATATACTTCATAATATTTGTTTAACAATACATGTACCTGTAAATTAATAAAAAAACATGATAATCTGTTGACTATAAACATTAGAAATGTACAGTATTATAAAAAACTATCTAAGACATTGCTTTTTCACTTAGATAACATAACAGAACAAAGTCTTAGTCTTATTATCTCATCCATCACTCTTCTATTTTCATTAAAACATTCACGACTGCCCATGTACACTACATGTATAAGAATTTCGCATTACTGCATCATAAATTGTATTACTAGTTTAACATCACTTCATTAAGAAGGCATAATTCAACAAACTTACCACTTCTCATTATGCTGACACAACAATTGCCTTTCTCGTATACCAGTCCATTATATCTGTTACCTTAAATAGAAAACAAGTCTTACATTTTTTTTACTTTTTTGGCAGTAAAACATTTGTCTGTACTGTTTGTAATTCTAGCAGCCATTATAACAGGCATATTCCTTCAATTTTAAGCAATACAAGTCTGCACCATTTTCTGTCTACCCAAATTTCTATAATGATAAGTTAATTTTCATACTGAAAAAAATCTAAATCAATATTAAAGAATTATATTCAATAGTTGCATAATCAAACCCTGAGAATGCTATCATTAAAAATTAAATCAACAACTATAGTCTATAGTACACAGGATTAACTATAAATATAAATGTATATTCAATGCCACTTTAATTAATGCAAGAAATGTTTATCAGAGCAACAGATAAGCTTTTAAAGTAAATTGGGTATTACTCCATCATTTCTTTTGGAATTGGGTATTGGCTCCATTTAATTGGGTATTCCAAAACTCGCTCACCCTATGATTTCAAGATCAAATTGGGTATTTAATTATGAAAATATGAATTTTAGGTTTCAATATCAATAAAATTTAAACTGTTTTAAAAAGAAATTAGGATTATCAAAAATGAAATTAGGATTAACAATTTAGATCTACTAGAATATTTCACAGTTGTTTTATTTTTTATATAAAATGCTCATGTTATATTTCATAATATCTTTTAACAAGTTCGTTTTCTAACTGACTTTTTAATATTTACGATTTTTTTGTTTCATATCACTTTCCTTTTTGTACAACGTCATATTGCTTTCAAAGCGTCTATTGATACAAGTGGGACCTACTTATTGACAGTCTCCGCAAAATCAACGGTCTCTGCCGGTCTGTAAAGACCGTCAACCTGAGTAGAAAAATCAACGGTCTCATGCTTAATTGATATGACTTAGTCGGTCTTTGGAGACTGACGACTGTCGAAGACCGGAGACCGTTGATTAGTTAGCATTGATTCGGGAATATTCGGATAGCATGCACATCGATATAATTTGTCCAAAACTACGAGCGTACGACAGATTAATTTTGTGGTGATGAAAATGACAATACGCACGGGTTTTTAAGACAATTGCGTATTTTATTTTTTTAATGGGTTTTGATACCCATTGTTAAAAAATCAATTGCGTATTTTATAAAATTAATTGCATAAATACGCAAATACGCACCTTATCTGTTGCTCTGTTTATACAACTTGTTGACAAAAAAATAAGTTTGTTCTATAAGAATAATTCTGAGCAGTTACACAACTTGAATCTAAATTATAATTCCATGATAAAGAACTAACCTGTGGGTGTAGTAATCTCACATTCTTTGTATGGTAACTGATTCAAACCTTCTTCAACAATCAGTCGAATCTATAAAATTTCAATGAAAATTTTGAAATTCCAGGAAACAATACCAAAACATGGTCATGTATTTTCTTACAAATCTAATCTTCATACCATTCTACCTTAATTATATCATTATTATGGATTCATAATATTAGATCTAGAGAAATTAAACTTATAATGTATATTGTCTAGTGACCTGTGAAAATTTCTTCAGAGAAAACATCACAAAAAGTAGAGAATTATACCACTGAATAAATAGAAAAAATAAACATATATTTCAAACTTCATACCAATCTGTCAGCATAGAATACAAAGTCACTTCTGTTTGTCGTTCTGAAAAGTAAATGCATGTGCTACAGACAATTTTATTCTAAATGTATATAAAAATATTATAATTTATGACCTTAGTGAAGTAACTGATTAACTCTTATATAATTAAATATGAGTTAACCTGTTACTACACTCTTTTGAATTATATAAGTGAACAATGTTATCTAATAGCATTGATTATTCTAAAAAAATAACCTCTATACCCATACATGTGAACTTTTTTTGATGAACAAGTGGGAGATTTTTCTTCAAAAAGGGGGAGATTTTAGAATTTGCAATAAACAAAGAAGAAAGTTCCAACATCAAAAATAGGGAGATTTCATTTATTTGTGAAAATGCCTTTATTTTAAGAAAAATCTTTGAAAATAAGCTGCAGAAACTTTCTGTCAGAAAGTGGGAGTCTCCTGCTAAAAGAGAGTTCATATGTATGTATATCTAATCTAGTCATGAGAGTTACCATTTGTGTTACAATCAATAAATGATAACTAAATGGTCCCTAAACACAGCTTCATATTTTTATCTGACTTTTGACCTCTTTGTGTGACACTGACTTTGGTCATGGGGACTTCAATTTTGCATGTGACACTCTGCCTCACAATTAAACATTTGTGCCAAGTAATATCCTAATCTATGAATGCATGAGTTTTGCTCTGGACAAACCTTTTTCAGTTAGCTCTAAATCAGTAAATGTGACCATGACCTTTGACCTAGAGACCTGGATCATGCATGGAGCAATATGTCTCATGGTGGTGAACATGTCTATGAAGTAATCTAAAAATTCTTTGATGCATATAGGAGAGAGATATGCTCTAAACAAAAACCTGGATATTCAATCATCTTTAGTGACCTTGACCTTCCATATTTTAACCTGAATTACATGTGTCACAGCGAAAGTCACGATAAGAAACAATAACAAGAACTGTCACAGGAGACAGCAAAGCTCGACTAATAAAATACTGGACGCAGTAAGGAAGACAAAACTATGAAAGAAAAATCATAAGTTATAGTAAAAAAAACATTGTTAACATAAATTCCAAGATCAAGGGGAATAATTCTGGAAATAGTCAGGCTAGAGTTTTGAACCTTGTCATACAACATGTGTGTAATGATAAGAAATATATATTTGAAGATTGAAGTAGATAACTTAAAAAGTAAAGAAGTTATAATATTTCTTAAAGAAAATCCTCAGTTCAAAGAGAGATAAATCTGTAAATATTGCTTCAAGAGTTATGAACCTTTTCACATAAAATGTAATTGATGATAGGGAATAAGTATTTGAAGTTTAAGGTAGATACCTTAAAAACTAAAAATGTTATAGTAAAAAATAACACATTTCCAAGGAAAAAAATCTAAGTTGATGGGAGAAATTCTGCAATATTGGTGCTAGTGTTATGAACCTTGTCACATAAACATGCGATTTAATGATAAAGGTATATAATTTGAAGTATAAGAATTGACCCCTTAAAAATAAAAAAGTAACATTAAAAAAATTTTTTTTAAAGTAAATTCTAGTTCAAGGGAGATAAATCTGAAAAAATTGGTGCTAGAGTATAAACCTTGTCACATAAGATGTGGTTGATGATAACGGTACATGTATTTGAAGTATGAAGTTGATCCCTTAAGAAATAAAGTAAGTAACAGTAAAAATAGTACTTTTTTAGGAAAATTTCAAGTTCCAAGGGAGAGATAATCTTGAAAATATGGTGCTTGAGTTATAAACCTTACACAGTTCCATTTGCGGCCTACATTGCCAAATAAAAGACTGATCACAGCTTAAACTTTTTTAAAAGTGAGCAGACCACAGTTTAGTCAAACCATGCAAGAATATACTTCAGCAAAACAACAAAGGGCCTGCATTTTTCAATTATAGTCACCTTGCTGTCAATAACAAACAACATAATCTTGAAATCCCTATGTCAAAATAGGACAATCACATGTACATGATTAACAATCAATCCTGGAAGCGTGTTTATATATTATCTTCCAGCAAATGTCAAACCCCTCAGGGATGTTAAATGTATTACATTGAACACAGGTTTTTGTAGATTTTTATGTTGCATTTTAAATGATTTTGTATTTTACGCGAGAAAGAATGTCTGAAAATTTAATACTAAAATAGGAATCTGGACAGAGCGAATATCCCTAAAATTTTTAATCCAACCAACAACACAATTTGTTCGAAGTTAAAACAATCCCGAGGGTCCTGTGGTTATAATTTTACCATCTTAAGCAGATGATTTTGGATGAATTGACACCAGCTGTTGGGGTGAAAGTTGGTATTTATCTTTACATCAGTAAAACAACAATATAAAAGCCTCCAAAATATTGTAACTTTATGTTTAAAAACAAATATCTGCTTTAACCTATTTCTCTACATCAGTCCAGTAAAGTAAAGTAAAAGTGCATGATAATAAAGACTAAGAAAAACACTAACTTATCGCGGAGAACTGTCTGAAGTTCTCGCACATTGTCATTGACCACTAATCGTTTAAAATTTGGTCCAAAATCATAATCTTCAAAATTTTCCTTTTTAAGTGAATCTTGAATCAGATCTGGTTCCATTTTCTGATATGTAAAGTAATCAAAATAAAGCGTGACTTTTTTCACAATATTGCATGGAAAGTGCCTAACAACACCGGATGTAGTTTTGTTTGATAGAAAAAATAGTTCGCAGCTTGGCATAAATTGCTTACGACTAATTTCCAAAACAGATAATTCTTTATTATATCATTATAATGCCTGATGAGGAAATAATTATTTTCGCTACTTATTTGATGAAACGGTATTATTTTGTGACTGACGGTAAGCGCCATTATACACAACCGAAAATAGTTCCAAATGTAAGGGAAGTTACTCTTACAGAAATGGCACAGCTACTGCTTGGCAGATGTCATCTGTCATCCAGTAGATTTATTGTTGATTTATCCCCAAAAAATTTTTTTACAATTGTCAAAATATTTCTCACAATTTCTCAAAGTCGAGTTTAAAACATTTTATCAAGTAAGTTTTGTATGAAACATTTTCAATTTTCCAATCCATTAATAAACAGATATTCAATGTGATATTTGCTCTTTTAAGCTTTGATGAAATCGGCATCTTTAGAGTATGATCTTAACTTTGTATGATGTCACAGACCTGAAATTTTGTTAAAAGTGAAAATTGAAAGTGACATCAGATTGTTCTGAATCTTACCATGCTCATACATTTAATCATATAATCAGTAACCTTATTTTTTATTCTTTTAAATCTGCGGTTTTGAATTTTAATATGTGTCATGGTTCAGAACTGTTCACTATTTAGGGGAGATGATGTGTAAGCGGCGGATAGCTCGGTCGGTAGAGCCGCGGAACGGTATTCCGAGGGTCCTGGTTTCGAGACACGGTCAGGCTGCACATTTTCACACCCTGTGACATACAACTTCAACTATTTTCTTACTTAATGTTTGTTAATTTACAGATAAAAAAATCTATAAAATTATCGATTGTCCAAAAATTTACAGACTGTCCATAAATGTCACGATCATATTCTTGTTAAATAAGTCTTACAATTTCAGTGTTCAATCTAGAACAAATTTCCAGAGGGCCCTTTGGGCCCATCAACTTTTCAAAAGGGGGTCATTTGAGAAAAAAGGGGGCCCACATTTAAAATGAACATCAAAGTCAAATAAGGTATTGTATCTTTTAAATTTAAATTACTTGTTCACATACTATATATAGACTAAACACGGTTGCAAAATTCGATAACAATCAACTCAACTAAAAAAAATGACATTATTTGGACCTTTTTTGAGAGTTCTGTTAGCGTTGATGCAGGCTCAATTTTAAGAACTGATTGGTAAAGAAACAATGACATAATGTTCAAAGAAACATATGAATCTTATTTTATTGTTACCAGGGATATTTGATAATAATGTTCAGTTTTTTAATCAGCGCCCAATATATAAAGGAAAATTATATTTTGCAATTAGCTTTGTTGATGAAGAATATAATCTTACAATAGTCGCTAAAAACATTTACCCTTCTCAATATATCCAAGCGAAAAACAAAGTGTCAACAGGTGCTAAGAGAATGTATATTGACATACCGGTACCTTTGATCTTTTGTCAGGGCAGCAGTTCTTACGTCGCGCTTAAGATGTCTGTATTGATTAATGATATGCACAATGTTTTAGCGCCGACCAGCCAAAGACCAATCAAAGTTAATCTAATCAATTGTCAGACACTCCCTAGCCAATCATGTTTGATTAGCTCCATCTTTAAGACTAATGTCACTTTTTTAATTGGATGAAGGCATGTTCGTAATAATTTATGCACACTTCTCTATAATTAGCTCGCACCTTTTCACAAATATAGTTTTTTTTCCTCCGGAAAGTTATGACATATTTATTTGTTTTTACCGTGAAAAAACTATAACTACACGCATGTATTGGTTTATCTGTGACAATTTGTTTTGTTTATAAAAACTGTGACTCAAAAGTAAGTTATAGTTATGGTACAAAGAACAGGTCTGCATAGTATTTTAAAAGGGTTACTGAGTGCGGTAACTATCTTGTTATACTTTTGTTTTTCTATACAAACTTCAGTTTAGAATTCATTATTTATTAATATTATTCACAAGAATTTTTTTATGTACTTAATCAGGTTTAAGAAAGCATTCTAATGTCATGTAGGGCATTTTCTACGAGTGCGCCCGTCGGGCCCACGGCTGAATTTGTTTTGCGCCGGCGGTCTTTTCAGGGGGTCACTGGCGCAATGGCACCCTCTAGATTGAACACTGCAATTTCATGGAGCAATACCTAGGATACCTGTAGGATGACTCTTGGCTCTGATGGAAGGGCCAAGCCCTTTTTAAGCCCCTCTTCTTTTGACAATCTTTCACTACTTCTTCTTATTGCTTATTATTCACACCCTTCTGTTGCTAAGATATAGAAATTATTAAACAAAGAAATAATAAGAAAAAAAAGATTTTTTATCAAGTTTTCAACAATTAAAACTTATGTGTCAGACTGGATTGTATTGTGTTTACAAATCATTCTTGTCAGTCATTCTTTGCATTATACATGTATAATTTTATTTTAGAGAAAACACAGCCCAGTCCTGAATAGAAATGGTTTGCCTTCACCAGCATGGACTTTTACAGATGTGGTAAGACTCTGCTATTTTTCTGCTTCTTGTTTCAGTAGGAAGTTATTGTGTTACTCTGTGCACTCTTAAGTATAATTTATCTCTTTTGAATTGAATAAAAAAAAAAAAATTTATGTAGAATTCTTTTTGAATGTTTTTGTCATGTCAGAAATACATGTTCTAATATTGGGGCTGTATTAAACTGACTTTGTTTAATATGGATTCTCTTAGTTATTCGATAAACTTTGTTATTTAATTAACAAATAGTTATTCTTTGGGATATTAGTTTGAGATTTTTTGACACTTGCACATAGGCAATTAAAGTTTGCTTTGTCATAGATCAAGAATATCATTGTAGAAATTCCCATGGCGAATAAATTCACGATCATGTTTTCATCCTGGGGCCTCAACCTTTGCTCCAAATGAGTTGAAAGGAGTGAAAGATGAACCACATGCGAAAGATATAATTAAGTCCATGTTTTCATACCTGTGGCCAAAAGATAAACCTGAAATTAAAGCAAGAGTGATGTTAGCACTTGGTCTTCTTGTTGGATCAAAGGTAAGTTTGATGTGAAACTTAAAGTACATAAAGTGAAATCTCAAGTTATGTTGTTTTTCATTTGTATTATAATGTAATGAAGCACATATTTGTTAATGTTATAAGGTTCTTCACCTGATGAAATTTTTGTATTCTTATTGAAACTTTGTAACTGTTTTATGGAGAAAATCTGTGCATTGTTATTGACAGTAAATGTTGAAATTAATATTCAATATCATAAATTTACTAAAACATTATATATTTGAATGTAAATGTTGTAAGATATATTATGTTTAAACATATTTATTAGTCCTATTGCGAAAAAAGATCTTGTAACTCTTGCCACATTCAAGTCTGCTTCGTGAAATTAACCAATACTGGTGACCTATGAGGAAACCTGGTCATGACCTGAGAATGGATTGAACCCATGATCCCTTGGTTGAGAGGCAAACACCTTAATCCCTAGGCCACTGCTTCTTTTTGAAGATTTTTTTTTAAGTGGCCTTTTAAATGTTATTTTTTGTTTCTTTCAGGTTATTAATGTTCAAGTCCCATTTATATTCAAATATGCCGTAGATTACCTCAATCATCCGGAAAACTGGTTAAATCTGGACAATCCTGCTAATACAATAATGACCACAGCTACAGCAATTCTGATTGGTTGTAAGTGACAATGCATTTTGAAAAATTTGATTGTAAAAGAATTTTTCTAGCATATTTTTCCTATGAAATATAATGAGGAACTTTCAGCTGAACCAATTTAATAGTACATGTACATGTATATTGTGTGGAGCAACTGCATCGTAATTAATGGATTCATACATAACATTACAATTGTGAAATGAATACATTGTTTATTTATCTTTATAACAAGATGGCGTTGGAAGAGCTTCAGCCTCAGGTTTCCATGAGTTACGGAATGCTGTGTTTGCGAAAGTAGCCCAGAACTCTATACGAAGGGTGGCTAGAAACGTATTCTTACATCTCCATAACCTTGATCTCAGTTTCCATCTCTCCAGGCAGACTGGTGCTCTTTCCAAAGCCATTGACCGTGGAACAAGGTATTTCATCTGGGTTGTTGTTTTTTAGCTTTTGTGATCGCTTTTCGTCCGTCGTCTGTCCGTCCGTCCGTAAACTTTTACTTTAAATGACATCTCCTCATAAACCACTAAGCCAATTTCATCCAAACTTCACAGGAATGTTCCATTGGTGGTCACCTTTAAAAATTGTTCAAAGAATTTAATTCCATGCAGAACTCTGGTTGCCATGGCAACCGAAAGAAAAAACTTTAAATATCTTCTTTTAAAAAACCATGAGAGCTAGAGCTTAGATATTTGGCATGAAGCATCTTCTAGTGAGTGTCTACCAAGTTTGTTCAAATAAAAGCCCTGGGGTCAAAATTGGCCACGCCCCAGGGGGTCATTGATTTTCCCTATATACATATAGTAAAAACTTAAAAAATCTTCTTTTAAAGAACCCAAAGAGCTAGAGCTAAGATATTTAGCATGAAACATCTTCTAATGAGTGTCTACCAAGTTTGTTCAAATAAAAGCCCTGGGGTCAAAATTGGCCCCGCCCCAGGGGGTTATTGATTTTCCCTATATGCATATAGTAAAAACTTAAAAAATCTTCTTTTAAAGAACTCAAAGAGCTAGAGCTAAGATATTTAGCATGAAACATGTTCTAATGGGTGTCTACCAAGTTTGTTCAAATAAACTCCCTGGGGTCAAAATTGGCCCCGTCCCGGGGGTCATTGATTTTCCTTATATGTATAGCAAAAACTTAAAAATCTTCTTTGAAAAAATCCAAATAGCTAGAGTTTAGATATTAAGCATGAAGCATCTTCTAGTAAGTGTCTACAAAGTTTGTTCAAATAAAAGCCTTGGGGTCAAAACTGGCCCCGCCCCTGGGGTGTCAATGTTTTTAACTATATTTAAAAAACCCAGTGAGCTAGAGCTTAGATATTTAGCATGAAACACCTTCTTATGGTTGTCTACCAAGTTTGTTCAAATAAAAGCCCTTGGGTTATATGTGTGTAGTAAAAACTAAACATCATGAAACATCTTCTAATGGGTGTCTTCTAAGTTTGTTCAAATAAAAGCCCTGGGGTTTAAACTGGCCCCGCTCCGGGGGCCTATATACAGGTGAGCGACCTCAGGGCCATCATGGCCTTCTTGTTTAGCTCACCTGTCACAAAGTGACAGGGTGAGCTTTTGTGATCGCTTTTCGTCCGTCCGTCTGTAAACCTTTTCTTTAAACGACATTTCCTCATAAACCACTAAGCCAATTTCATCCAAACTTCACAGAAATGTTCCTTTGGTAGTCAAATTTAAAAATTGTTCAAAGAATTTAATTCTAAGCAGTACTCTTGTTGCCATGGCAACTGAAAGAAAAAACCAAAGAGGGGAGGGAGGAAAGGGGGGTGGAGGTATATAGTAAAAACTTAAAAAATCTTCTTTTAAAAAACCCTAACAGCTAGAGCTAAGATACATGTATTTAGCTTGACATATCTTCTAATGGGTGTCTACCATATTTTTCTTCTTTTAAAAAACCAAAAGAGCTAGAGTTTAGATATTAAGCATGAACTATCTTCTAGTGAGTGACTACCAAGTTTATTCAAATAAAAGCCATGGGGACAAAATTGGGCCTGCCCAGAGGTGGGGGGGTCATTGTTTTTCCCTATATGTGTATTGTAAAAACTTTAAAAAAATCTTCTTGTAGCTAGAGCTTAGATATTTATCATGAAACATCTTCAAATGGGTGTCTACCAAGTTTGTTCAAATAAAAGCCCCTGGGTTAAATTGGCCCAACCCCTGGGGCCTTTATACAGGTGAGCGATTTCAGGGCCATCATGGCCCTCTTGTTTAAACAAATTTACAATATTATATATTATATTTTTTAACAGAATTTTACAAAGATAGTGTGTATAATACACTTTGAATGCTGTATCTGAGATTGTTATGATAATTAAGATTTACACATAATTTTTTTGTCATGAAAATAAGCCTGATGCTTTGATTTAGGCAATGTATAAAAGTTTTTAACACTGTCATCTCAAATTGGGATGTATTTGTGCATAATTTTTGCTCTGAAATTCATAAGAACAACAGTTTTGAGGAATTTTCAAGTAAATACCAATTTTTTCAATGATTTTAGAAAGTTGTTTCTAACAAGTCATGTGACCATGTACCTGCCAGGTAGGTATTGTACAATAGGACTTCTCCTGTATATGAAGTTATGAATGATACACTCTTTCCTAACTTTTTATCATAATATCAAGTAGCTATATATTTTGATGTACATTATATTTCAGAGGAATAAATTTTGTATTGACAGCACTTGTGTTTAATGTGGTTCCAACAATATTAGAAGTGTCACTTGTAACTGGTATTCTGGTATGTATCATAGACAACATCACTTGTTCATATGACATCATTAAATAAGTCTGTATTGTATTTTAATGACACAGATATTTGTTGATGTTTATTTAACAAACCTATATTTTGAAAGACCATTTAGAATTTAATAACCAGCAAGTTTTTATGACTGTTGGTATAATGAAGCAATGCAGTTTAATTATCATGGTATGGTTTTACTTCATGATATTTTATTTTAACCTCTCACCAAATCATGTAGAATGTGCAAAATATAACATAAGAGGTTATATTTCAGTGGTATAAGTGTGGACCAGAATTTGCGCTGGTTACCTTGCTTTGTATTGCCTCATATTCCACATTCACTCTGGCTATAACACAGTGGAGGTATGTTTGTTTGACACATTCAAAGTTTGTTGTTATTTTTAGTTTCCATAGACTCTTCCAAGAAAAGTAAGTGAACTGTATTATGCACCCTAGTGTAAGCACCACTGTGACACTTTTTTGACACAAGTTTTTGCATTCAAGTTGATATCTCCAAAATTACTGAAGATAATGGGTTGTGCATGTAACCCCTTTCCTTACAGTCAAGCCAGGGCTCACGCTGTCAGTCGCCATAGTCGCCATTTGCGATTATTTTATAAGATTGGCGATTATTTTTGCATTTTGGCTACAAAATCTGGCGATTATTTTTTACTTCCAACAGTGTTTACATAAGGTGTAAAAATAGATAATGAATGCAGTAGACCCAATTAACACAAGCGGGGTAGATTTAATTGAGTGTCAACTTTTTATCGGTCACGCATCGGTTACATGAGAGCATTATAATAGCCATCAAATATCTGTCAATCAGCCACAAAATAATCTTCTTAAAGTTGATAAACTGGATATTAACCAACCCAAAATTTACCGTAAATTGCAGTAATGGCAAATTTTTATTTTTTTTTGTTTAAAGCTGCTTGACTAAATCGCCAGTGGAAAACAAAAATGATAAAATATTTAAAAAGTATTTACTTCCAACCAACTTTTTGCACAACAACCAAAATGGTGAATATTTCTTCAGAAAACAAAAAATCCTATTGTCACATATTTTCGCGACACTGATAATTTTGATATTTATTTAAAGGTGAAAATAAGCTATGTTCTGTTTGAAAATCTTTACTGTTATGACAGCTTATATTGCATTAGTAATAATGACATTTTTCAGTTAGTTACTAAGTTTAAAGGCTGCATTCTGTGAATGAGTTTGCGAGTGTAATTTATATAGCCTAATATGACCTACTCTAGTTCTGTGTGAAATGTAGAAATTGACTGTGGTTACAGCTAACACAATTTGAATAGAACAAACAAAATAAATTGTCTGATAACAACATTATGTAAAGTTATAATGAATCTTTAATTTTATTCTTATACAGTTATAATACAGTTATTATACTATATAACATTTTTATTTTGTTCTATAATCACAATTAAAGTTGTGGTTCTATGTAAAAAATGTAGTTATCAATATACACAAATGTATCAGTTTATTTGAGAATCTTTATAAAACTGAAAAAGTTTTATATGTAATGATTATTTAATCAACTGCTTATGTTGTTGATCGCTAAATCGTGCGTAGTCTGCTGAACTTTTGGCTATTATTTTTTTTAAGTAAAAAATATTGGCTATTATTTTATTTGAGCCAGTGTGAGCCCTGCAAGCAATGAGAAAAGTCTTAGTGTCCTGTCTCACAGACAGCTCTTGTTAAGATATAAACTGCATATTGTTAATTTGGAAGTACTGTAACCCAATTTATATTTGCGAATACAAATTTTCGCGTTTTGCCGAGGTCGGACATATTCGTGAATATTAATTTCCGCGTTTTCTTGATTTCCGAAAAAAAATATTCGCGGATTGGAAAGTCTGATGGGGCCGTTAAATCCATTAGCCGACTATTAATCTTCAATAATTGAAGTCATTATTGGTGTCTTAAATGGGATTAACAATACGCTAGCCTTATATTGTTTTGGTAAGTGAATTGTGATCACAATTCAGCAAAACATTTTCCCTATATATGTACATGTACGCATCGTTCATCTCCATTTCTTAACATGTCGTTAAAAGGGCGGTTGATAAAAAATAAACCCTCAGAATGCAGGGATGTTTCGGCATCGTTTTAAAATTCGAATATATCCGGTCAAGTAGTTTTGCATGAACAACGTCTAAAATAAAAATTTCTCTCCAATTTATTGCGAAATTGTGCGGACTTATCCGCGCAAACAAATATTCGCGCTTCGTGGCCATCCGCGAATAAAGCGAATATTAATTGGTCGCAAATATTCGTTGGGTTACAGTAAACTGCATATTGTTATTTTGGAAGTAAACTGCATATTGTTATTTTGGAAGTAAACTGCATATTGTTATTTTGGAAGTAAACTGCATATTGTTATTTAATATAATATATACCAAGTTTCCTGTCCTGTGCTATATTTAAAGTCAAAGTTTCACATATGATATTATACAGGACAAATTTTTCTGCATTATGTTATTTTTCAGGACAAAGTTTCGTGTACAAATGAATAAAGCTGATAATGAGGCAGGAAACAAAGCTATAGATTCCCTCATTAATTATGAAACTGTCAAGGTATGAACCTTTAAACTAATAACTTCCCATAGCATACAACTTCAAAGAGTACAATTATAATTTTTTAGATAAAAATCTTTTTCAATCTTCCACCCTTTGTCTTTAAAGAGCTATAGGTATCAATTTTGTGATTTGAGTCACATGAAATGTTTTCTTAAGTTTGTGCAATATAATATTGCCAAATATTTTCTCTGCTAAAAAACTATTTTTTCCAACTTATTTGTATGCTAAAAGCTCAATCCAACCTTGATATAATATAACTACCTTACCTGTTGGTACAATTTGCTACATTGAAAGTTTTTTTTTACAAACTAATGCATTTCCATTATTTGTCATTTAATATACCTGTATATATTCTTTCAGTGTGACAAAAATGTTTATGTCATTTTGCATGTTTTGTGTTATTATAGATATATTCGCAATTTTAGTATTTCAACAACGAACAATTTGAAGCAGAGAGATATGATAAATATTTAGCCACCTATGAAAGTGCCTCATTGAAGACAACAACTAGTCTGGCATTATTGAACTGGGGTCAGAATGCTATATTTAGTGTAGGTCTCACAGCAATCATGGTGTTAGCTGGTCAACATATCATGGCAGGTTAGCATTTGTCTATTTCATTTGGATTAAATATTCAAGACAAATGTTGCAGTCTATTTAGTAATACTTTGTAAGGAAGCTAATCAGTTATAAGAGATTAGGTGACATTACTTACATAGAGGATATTTGTTTGTTTTGCATGTAAGATTGAAATATATTTCACTGAGTGAACCACAAGTTCGCATAGCCACAAGTGAAAATAGAATAGCTGGTTAACGAATGAAATATATTTCAATCTTTATATGTTAAATAAATAAATTTTCTTTTTATTTAATGCTTTTTCAGGAATTTTAAGTATTTTTTACTGATTTTTCTGCATAATGTCGAGCATTCTCCTTATGACGTCATCACATCATGATGTCATATTATCAATTTTGAAATATAGTTCTGTTAAATTTTTCTAATTTTGTTACATTTTTAACATGATGTATGATGACATTGACTTTCTTTTCCTAAAGAAGCAAAATTTTCATATGACAGCATTTATTTCTGCTTATTATTCCTTTTAGTTATGATATTCCTTTCATCCGCATTCAGATAATAATAGTCCGGCTTCAGTGAAAATTATATTAAATAAATTTCAGTAGTGGTTTATCAAATTTTAATCATCTGTTATATTACAGTAAAACACTGGAAAGCATGAAATAATATCAAGTATTTTCCTCCAGCAGTGAATAAACTTTGACCTTAACTAGTGTTTTCAATTTGTTTTCATGTAAAGGGTTCCATATGGAGGAGGGGGGACGGGAGGGGAGTTGCAGGCTAGCTAAAAGGGAATATTTAATTACATATAAAAGTACTTAAATATTAAAATATAACCTGTTTGAGCAGTTTTATCAACAGTTTAATAATAGTAAGGTTAAAAATTAATGTTACCATGAAGGAGGGAAAACAAAAAGAATGAGGGGGAAATATATACTCCAAATAACAATGTGAATGCCAGGTTAACCCGACCTAAAGAACATAACTATGGATATAATTTTGCAATTTTACAATTTCACTATTATATTACAGGTACAATGAGTATTGGAGACCTGGTCATGGTGAACGGTCTTCTGTTTCAACTATCATTACCCCTCAACTTTCTTGGTTCTGTATATAGGGAAGTTCGCCAGTCTCTCATTGATATGAACGCAATGTTTAACCTTCTCAGCATTACACCTAAAGTCATGGTGAGCATTTATACTTAGTTTAATAGTAGCTTGTGAAAGTATTTAAACAAACATGTGAAGAAATATTACTTAATGAAATTGAATGAATGAATGGTTTTTGTTTTGCTTCTATATTTAAATGCAAAAGAAAAATTTATGAATGAAAGAAGGTTAAACTTACATAAGCGGAGAAATAGCTTATCTTATTCATAGTTGTTAATTGATGTCATATTTGATATATGTGTATACATACATGCTTCCAGTACAGCACCTTGTTTAATATTCAATGTTGGTTATAAAATGCCTTTAATGGTTAAATTATAAGTATAGTATATTGTAATGTTAATCATTGCATTGATATTGAATGTTTATAGGTCAGATATACATGTAATTTCATAATTATGACATAATTATGTGAAGCGCCTTTAAGTATTTATTTCATTAAATTAATAATAAGTGTCAGTGAATTTTTTCACAATATATATATTCTAACGAAAAATCTTTTATCACTATTCATAAGCCTAACCAAACATTCAAACAAATGAATAAACTTGGTCAACTAAACATGTACATGTTATTTCAGGCAGACCCAAAAGCACCAGAGTTGAATATAGTTGGGCACGAGGCAGCAGTTACTTTTGATAATGTTACATTTGGTTATTTACCTGAACAGAAAATACTCAATGGGCTATCTTTCTCTGTACCAGCTGGGAAAAAAGTTGCCATCGTTGGAGGTAGTGGTTCAGGGTCAGTGTTAAGTTAAAATACTGTAAACCACCATTTAAATCACGTATAATCCCTTAATATACTAGTATGTCCCCTTGACTTTTTCTGTTAAGGAAACAATGCTTGCTTGCTAAATTCTTCCATAAACAGTTTAAAAAGCTGTAAAAATAAATCCATAGCAGTATATATGGAAAAGGATATACATGTATTGTAGTTTAGAGCTTCAAATTGTTCTGTGGTTACATGTATATGGTTTAGAGCAATATTCTGTGTTTTATAATGTTTGTCCAAATCCCAAATGAGTTTATTCTTCAAGCTTGACCATGATTATTTCTCACATGAAATTGAAATTATTTATAAAGAACTTGCAGTCTGCTGTTTTCTAAATTGCACTGAGGTAACCTAACTTTGAAAGGAAAGATGGTAAAGACTTTGAAGCCTTTTATCAATGGATATATAAATTAATGTTCTCTTTAAATTTGTTTTCTGCATTTATAACAAGAAGCTAAAGTAATATTTGTTTAACTAGTTAATCTAGAAAAATGGATAGATAGATCAAACTATTTTACATTTGTTAAAAATAACACAACATACCTTAGACATATACATGTAATTGATACACCTCTCTTGTTGTGATGTTATTATCTAATATACCAAGAAATTCTTTGAAAGGTGAGATTATTTTTAGACCTTTTCTTTCTACTTTTGAACTTTGTTATTACTCTCTTTGTTATGTAAATGATATATTTACAGGAAGTCTACAATTGTTAGGTTGTTATTTCGTTTCTTTGACCCTGATTCTGGAAACATCACAATAAATGACCAGGATACAAAACTTGTTAATCTGGACAGTATGAGGCGTTCTATAGGAGTTGTGCCACAGGTAAACAATACTTCTTTATACTAGTGAACCTAGCAAGATTCCATATGATCATGACTTTAAACATAACACTATAAATGATGGCACTAGTTCCCATAGTTTGTAACCTCTAACATGCTGAATTTCTTAAATTAGTTTTCCTGCTTCAATTTTTTGGAACTGTCCATTATCAGTTTTTGGGGATATCAAGATGAAAATTAAAAGTTAATGAGCCAAGAGTGTAGAGCCTGGTCAGACTGGAAAGGTGTGCAGGCTGGCCTGTCTTTACACTGGTGACATGAAAAAGCTAGCTCTTGAAATAGCTAAATTGTAAGAGCTTTATTTATCTATTTCATTGGTCTGTAATTCAAAACTTTGACAAACCATATCTTTTGAATGTTGTCCAATAAGTGTATGATTTTAGACATAACTCCTTTGATATGCAGACAGTTGCTTTTAGGAAAACTGTTTAGTGCTTATGTACAGAATCCAGAAACACTGAACATTATATCAATTATTTTGTGTTTGATTGAAAATTGTTACAAAGATGCACAGTTATCAAAATTTATGATATTTTGCGGTATTGAATTTTTTTCAGGACTGTGTATTATTCCATGATACAGTGTTTAACAATATTCTGTATGGAGATCGTAGTAAATCAGAAGAAGATGTTTATAATGCTGCCAGAATGGCTGAAATCCATCATACTATCATGAATAGATTCCCCAAAAAATATGAAACAGAAGTTGGAGAAAGAGGATTGAAACTCTCAGGTATAGTCAATGATTTAAATAACTAACTAATCATTGTGAAAAATAAACCAGAAAGAAAGACTGACACAATCTCAATATATTTTGGGGGGGGGGGGGGGGTGCAAGTCTCTGTTTAGAATTATGCATGCAAATGACTCATTTTATAAGTGATAGGAATTTATCTTTCTAGCAGTTAATCATATACAGAAAACTGTCTATTATTTTCACATGCTTTCATTTTCATGGCCATTTGGTTCTTTGATGAATTTACTTAAGATGTATGCTACTGAAACAGAATGAAAACTGTAAAATAAAATTTATTTAAACTTTGCATGATTTTAGAATATGATTACAGAAACATTTTAAAAAGATGGTTGTCTACAGAGCTCATTTTTGACTTATCTGCCATGAATTTGAATTTTTCTATCAAAATAATTCTAATGTTTTATTTATGAATTTAATAGCATTTATATGATGTTTGACCTTTAGGTGGTGAGAAACAGAGGGTGGCTATAGCACGAGCTATAATGAAGGATCCACCTATATTTGTGTATGACGAGGCAACATCATCTCTAGATACCATTACTGAACAGGTAATACCATCTATAATACTATTTATCAGTAGACACTTCTCATTTCACTTGCAAGTTGTATTTAATTTGGACCAATTTGTTCACTATGAGATGAAAAAATAAAGTGCTTTATCATTTTGTAGCTATATCATGGCAATCACACATTGCAATTTTCCTTAAGATTCCTCACTGAAATATAATTGTAGCATTTTGAAAATTAAACATTTCAAAACAATAAGAATTTTATTGATATCTGGAATTCCATACAACTTCTCTCAATTTTATCAGTTTTCTTTTCTTATTGCTAAAATAATAGGGTAGAGGCTTGAATATTAATACACATTTTAAACATGTATCAAATTAAGTGGAACAAATGTTATGTCAGATAATTGATTCATTACATTGTTTTCCTTCCAGAACATTTTACGTGCATTACGCAGTGTAACTAAAGGTAGAACTACAATAGTAATTGCACATAGACTGTCGACAGTGGTAGATGCTGATGAGATACTAGTGCTGGAACAGGGCCATGTCGCTGAACGTGGCAACCATTTTGAACTTATGAATAAATCAAACAGTTTGTACAAAGAGTTATGGGAGAAACAAAGTTCAGCCCACTTGCAAGCAGAGCTTGACCTTGCTGAAGAGATTAAATCATAGTGAGGAGATAGTTTAGAATGTGATATATTGTTATGAATTGATTTTATAATCAGTGAATGATTTTTTCTATTTCTCAAATATTCTAAATTATTGCTAGACATGATACATTAAAAATTCAGGAATATTCATTTATTGTTGATGTTGTTTTGATAGAGGAAAGAAAGTATTTTTTAAATATTTTTATCTCAACTACTCAATAGTAGAAATAAGTGCTCACCTGTGAATTGGAGTCAGCTAAAAGTTTAGTTTCAGTTTTGTGTGCTACTTTACACATTATTAAAACTGTAAGTTATTATTTGAAACCTCACACATGTCTTAGGGATCATAATTGCCATTCAATGTCCAAGGTGTATCTCTGTAGCATTATATTTCACTGAATAACTTAAAGATTGTGTATGCCAGATCAGTGTCTACAGCTGTTGAAGAAATGCACTGTACAAGACCCATTACTCTAGCATGGATTGCATTAGAATTAAGAACACTGTTTACTTAGAAAATTCCTGGTTTATGTTTTGCATACCTGACTTCTCTTCACAATCACTGAAAGTAATTCCAGGTATTTCCAAAAGACTTGAGGATAAAATTTTTAGGTCATTTCCCAGATCCAAAACTATGCCTAGGATTATGACAGAATTATAATGGTTTTTGAACTTTTAGATTTCTTGTCAAAGTTTTATAAGATTTATCTCAACAAATGCCATAGGTGTTTTTTTACTTGAAACTTTGTGTCTCCTGAGTCACCATTGTAGGTTACAGTCCAAGCTTCAAGTTCTGATTTGGGCTGACTAGACCTAATATATTCTTAAGATTTTTAGCTCGACTTTTTTTTTTTTGAAAAAAAAAGTAGAGGTATTGCTATAGTCAACGCCGTTCGCAAACTTGTACCTGGATCATAATTTTTTTATTTCTTGTTGTATTGTCTTCATACTTGGCCACAACAACCCGTGGGACAAGACCTTTCAGTAGACCACACTAACCTTGACCTCCATCCATAAATGACCTTGACCTTCAAGGTTGAAAGTCAAAATTTTGCTTGTTCATGCTGTTATTGGCTGTAACTTTGCTATTTTTGAATAGATTGTCTTCAAACTTGAACATAATAATCTTCAAGGATATCCCTTAAAAATAACCAGACAGACCTTGACCTTCACGACACCACCATGTGTCACACACGTGACTCCACCACGTGTATCTATTTATAGAATTTTCTATTGATAGAATTGCGTGTTTCTATTTATAGAATTTTCTATTTATAGAATTTGCGTGTTTCTATTTAAAATATACAGACAAAACTAATGTGACAAGACAGACTGATTAAAAAGGAAACGTTAAGATTTTGTTCAAACATTTCTTTGTTTGCTTTTAGAGAAAGTAAAAAGTCCAGTGTTCTCATGATGAATAATAATATTTTGTTCTACAACAATTTATAGATTTGTAATATTGGATATCATGTATCTCACAATTGCCAACAAGACACATTTATTTCATGCTTTCCAGTGTTTTATTGTAATATATCAGATGATTATATTCTGATAAACCACTAGTGAAATTTATAAAATATAATTTTCACTGTAGCCGGACTATATCTGAATGTGGATGAAAAGAAAATTAAACTAAATGGAATAACAGACTGAAATAAGTGCCGTCATACGTAAATTTTGCTTCTTTAGGAAAAGAAAGTCGATGTCACCATACATTATGTTAGAAATGAAGCAAAATTAGAGAAATTTAACAGAACTATATTTCAAAATTGATGATGTGACGTCGTGATGTGATGACGTCACGCAGGAGAATGCGTGACGTTCCGCGGCAAAATCAGTAAAAAATACTTAAAATCACCTAAAAAGCATGAAATAAAAAGAAAATTTATTTGTTTTTCATATAAGATTGAAATATATTTCATTCGTGAACACCAGCTATTATATTTTCACTCGTGGCTACGCCACTCGTGAAAATATTGCATCTGGTGTTCACTCAGTGAAATTATATTTCAATCTTACATGCAAAACAAACAAATATCCTCTATATATTTCTTACATTGTTTGTTGTCATGTATGACGCTTAACATTTTCAACATTATTGTTTATAGTATATAGGACATTCCATTATTGACCAATTCACTTTAATAATGCATACATTCATAGATTGATTCTAACAGTTTGAAGTACTTAGATTAATTTACATAAAATAGAATTTAGTGTATGAAAACAATAACTTTAATTAACCCTAAAATCATGTTTAAAAGGAATGTACTTTGTATCAATATGTACGTATGTAATATGATTCAGATTAAAAGTTTTCGATGATATTTTTTAGAAAAAAAAGTTGTGAACCTAGCAAACCATTTTGAGTATGGATGATTGTTAGTTTCATTTGGTCACTTTAATCAATCATATTGAAAAACTATTGGAAAGAAGAAGCCTAAGTATTGTTAAAATCAAAATAAAATTCTATGAATTAAGACAGTAACTGATTTAAAGAAAACCTCTTGATTTAGAAACATTCAAGGAAAATAGGCTTATATTTAAGTGTAGTTGTTAAAAGTTGTATTTCTAAATTGTGCGTTAGTGATATGTTGTTTTTATAAATATTTTAGTTTTAATGCTAACAAGAAAATAAAATATTGCCATTTTTGTTTGTCGTATATTATTTACAATTCACCAGTATCCTATTTATTGACTGCTGGAACATCTCTTTCTAATTGTTCTTTTATATCACCTGTCCCTACCAGAAATCTTGGAAATTTTATCATATGGTTTTGTCTGGAGGTGAAATTTGGAGAGCATATTATTTGTTGTGTTAGGTACCCGTAGCCTTATTAAGCAAAGGCCACCAAGACTTGAGAAATTTTTTACCTTACAAGCTGTCATAGGAGACATTTGCTGAACTAGTCAACATTTTTACACCACATAACATGTATGTGACCATCTCATTCAAAGTGAAACAGAAATCTTTATGCTCTAATGGAAGACAACATTTAGATATCTGAGGTCAATCCCTTCAGTAGCAAAGATGGTAAGAGTAAAAACTATATAATAAATTTCATAGTTCAAAGATGAGAATAAGAACTCTTAAAGATGCTAGTTATGAAGATTGCCATACATTATGTGAGTGATGACAAAGAACAGATATATAACATAGATATCTTATATAGGAACAACAAAGGAAAGTAACAAAACAAAAAGAAAATAAGCTCAAAATGGAAATAATTCTGGAATAACAAGAACACAACATTACACCAGTCATAAACGATCACAATACTGAAGAGGACATGGCCTTGAATTCATTGTGCCATTCTGTGGAATAGATTACTTTCACTTCCTTTTCCCTTTAGCAGTATGTCTGTGGAACAAGATCCCAGAGTACCTAGCCACAACCCTGAACTGAAGGGACTGGAAGCCTAATTGAACAAAACCGCGATATAAATAGTTTTAATCTACACCAATCTTTGCTCCATAGCTCAATAGCTTGAGCGTTGGACTGTGAATCTGGCGACCCGGGTTCGATTCCAGGACGACGCAGTTCACTTTTGTTGTGATTGATCATGAAATCCTTTCTGCTGTCATTCGCACTTTACCTCTACTCTGGCATGTACGGAGCAAAACTGAAGGCAACTAGTACTGGTTAACTGCATGACTGCCTGCCCAGGAATGATGCAGTGGCTGAACTTTGCTCAGTGTAAATTCAATGAGCCGGAGTGAAAGCTAACAACAACACCACCACCACCAATCTGTGCATACCTCACAACTCCATTGTAAAGTCCCAATGTACAACAATGCTCCAGAGTTATCCCAGTAAATTAAAAAGAAGCAGAAGAAGAGCAGCCAGATGTTATGGAAAATTAGGAGGTGAAAATTAGCTTTTCTTAGTGACAGAAATTTATACTTAACAGTATTGTGAGGATGAACATGATATTGTTTCCATTTATTGGTTATTAAATCTTTCTGGTATAAACTTAGTACTACTACATGTAGTTCCTTACTGAAAATTAAGTCTTCCATCTGTTTTGTGTTTTGCATTTACAGTAAAATGAAAAAAATTAATTTCAAAAGTATTAATTTATTGTTCTGATTTAAGGTGTGCTATGTTAATTCATTTTTTAAACTAAGGAACATTGTGACAAACCACATTGTTTTTGTAGGCATATTCTGTCTAACAAAGTCTGTTGCATTTTTTATTGTGGTGGTCAAGATGAGGTATTACTGATGGGTCTATGTCTGGCATCATTTAGGTTTTTAACACTCTAGCAGTCACAGTTTAAAAATCAAACTTTGTCAGAATGTTTGTCTCAATGAAATACAGGTCAAGTTTAAATATGGGTAATCTTGGGTCAAAAAGGTCACAGGAGCTAAAAATAGAAAAAATCTTGTTAACAGTAGTGGCTCAACAGACACTTGGGGTTTGGAGCTCAAAACACCTTTAAAATCCAAATAAAATGCATATTTGTCAATCCCAGCACATGTACTGATCATATATATCAAAAAAACTTAATATAAGCCGTTTTGAAAAAATTTCATATTTCAACATCTATAATAATACACTATTATAGATGTTGAAATATGATTCTTCACATAAATTATCAGGAGAACGATATAAGGACTGCCATGGCCCTCTTGTTTACTTTCTTTTCCTTACTTAGGAGTGCATGCTTTTACATGTTATCATGTAGCTAAATATAAATTGTATGTATATCTGTATTTTAGTGCATTAGATAACCCAAATATTAGGAAGAAAAAATAATTTGGTTGATTTGTTCGATTAATTTAGATGAAAATTTCAAAATAACAGAACATATTCACAAGGAATACAATCAAGACGACCGTAAAGCCCCCCAAAAAAAAACAATCGCAATGGCACTGGAATCAACTGTGCAATTACAACAGAACGACAGAGAAAAGACGCCTGAAAAGCCAGTTGATAGAGAAAAGGTAAACTAAGGAATATGGTTGTATATCGATTTTATAATGGCAAATAATTCTTGTAGTATATCATTTGCAACATGTTTTCGCGATGTAAATTAATTTACGACTGTTTACGTTTCACTTTTGACTCGAAGGGATATATATTATTTTCAGTGTATGAATAATATAAAAAAGCAATCTACTGCACTTCTGTTTATAAGATTCATTTTACACGGCATACCTCAGTGACTAGAAACTACATGTAGCTATGAAATGTTTTATTACATTCAGCAGCACAGTCGTTTGGCACATTTGGCATGCCTATTATAGTCCAATTATCATAAAATAAGCTCCCCTTGATCATCAAGAGCATAATTACTATCCAGCAACGCTTATTATAAAATATATACAAGGTATATAATTCGCCCTAGCGTATTCCCCCTGGCACAATCAACATTTTGCTCTTGCATTTTTAAAGTGTCCGTACGTCCCGAAATCTTGTGAACGCAACTCCTCTTAAACTGGATGGCAGATTTTGCTTAAACTTCCAGGAATGAACAACCTTAATGTGTAGATGGTAGTAAAGGAAGGAATTTTTGCTGCGACCAAATTTAACAGAATTATGGCCCTTTGTTGATTTTTAGTTTTCAACTTCTGGCACATGTAGTCCAAAAAATATTTGACCTACAGTCATAAGATTGACAGAACAGTGGCATGTGGGGGCATTCGTGTCCTATGGACACATTTCTTGTTTATCATAAATTGCTTATGAGCTGAAAAGTTTATTAAAATATTACTTTATATCTTGATTGTTAAAAGAAATTATAAATATGTTTATAGTATTTCCTATCTGTTTTAGACCTGCCCACTTCTTTTGAGAGTGTTCTACAACACTGGAAGACATAGTCCACTAAATGAGTATGCTAGAGGAAATGTTCCATCAAATGAACTTCAGATATATACCTGGTTTGTTGTTTAATTTAATAAATCTTTCCACTGTTTCTTAAGTGTGCATTTTCTAGAAGCAGTTATTTATATTTCTCTCTGCTATTAGACCTTCCAGGCCACTTTTCTTGTTTTCCTTAATATATGCATATGTTCATGTAGTTATTAGAATATTAGGGGTGCCCGTGGCCAAATGGTTAATGTCGCTTGCCACTTGCTGCTGTAGGCCAAAGTCACGTCAGCGTCTCGGACTTCTTTCATGAGAAAAAGCTATCCAGCTTACTTAGACACCTGAGGTCTTCCTTTCTATTAGTTACTCTTAAATTCCCAATCTTTGACTTTTTCCCAATTAGCTTTACTTAGATGATCTGAAAAGCTATGATACATTTTATAGGTTGGATGCATCACTTAAAGAGCTGACCAGTTTGGTTAAAGAAGTGAATCCTGATGCACGCAGAAAAGGAACTTTCTTTGACTTCTCAATCGTATACCCAGACTCGAGAGCCCCAACCTATAGAATGAGAGAAATTGGCACAACTTGCTCAGGACATAGAGGAGCTGATGATACTGTTAGTTTAGCATCAAAGAAATTTGTGATCGGAGATTATATTGACATTGCCATAACACCACCTAGAGGACCAATGCGACCAGGAAATATGGGGAGACGTGCAAGACCATACTGATTCATTCATTGTCAAGTTTCATTTCTGTACAGTATATTTCTTTCATAACATAGGTCATTATAACTTTATTTTTATGTTTTTTACATGTTACTTACTGAAATTAAGTCAAATAACACACATGTGTAGTAATTTGTATGAGTAATGTTTGCAGCAAACTAATGGGATTCTGTATGTGAAAATTATGATTTGTGATAAGCAATCTTGTTTTATTCAAGATAACTTAATTATGTTATTTCAGATGTTCATTTCAAAAGTTTTATTGATGATGTCTTAACCATACGCCTTTAGAGATCTTTTGAAATAGATATATGTTCACCTTTTTGCAAAGCTTGTTTTAAAATTTAATACATGTATGTACAATCATGGTAATTGTAAACAAAAAATATGGAAATAAAATTATAGAAAATTAGCAGTGAAAATGTTTTCAATTTTGTATTGCAGAATTTAGATAATGTGTGTCTATCTGTCAAACTTGGGTGTATTACATGCTTAATTTAATGCATCTCATTATATTAAATAAATTTACTTATACATGTATCACCATACAAAACACAACAGTTGATTAAATCAACCATGTTGATTGTTCAGAATTGCCTGTCATTTTAGGAATATTAATAAATAAAGTTGGTATACTACAACATATGATAATTCCACAAATGGTACTTAGTACTTACATACAAAGTAATGCATTTATAAATGATGGCAAATGCAACAGTTAAAAGAAGGGTAAAAAGCAACATTATGTTTTCTTTAATATTTCTTTTTTATTGTGTCGCCTTGAAAAAGGCGACATATAGGAGTTACTTTTGTCGGCGGCATCCACGTCCCCTTAAGCTTGTCCGGAGCATAAGTCAGTCATTATAAGTCGGATTGACTTCAAACTTGGTATGCATGCTTCTTATAATGACCCGATGTGCAATGCACAAGAACCGGTACTCTGCACTCTTTAATTTTTGAGTTATTGCCCTTTGTTAATTTTCATACTTTATTTTTTTAGGATGATAGATCTCATTAAGAAGAAGTCCTTTGCACAAGAACCAGTACTCTGCATTTCTTAGTTTTTTGAGTTATTGCCCTTTGTTAATTTTTATACTTGATTTTTGTCCAGGCCATTTCTCCTAAAGTATAAAAGCTATGGTCTTTAAACTTCATAGGATGATGGATCTCAGTAAGAAAAATGCAGTGTACAAGAACTGGTACTCTGCACTTCTTTATTTTCTTCATTTTTTTCCTGGCCATAAATTCTTATAAACTATATTGTTCACAAGGCGACACATCCGACTCGCGGAGTTCTAGTTGGAGTTTAAAGAATAGATGAAAATTTGTAAAATCAGAAATCATTGTACAAATGTTGAAAAATAAATACTAAATTTTTGAGGTCCAAGTGTTGTGTAATCTGACTTGAACTCAGATCATCTAATGTTTACATATATTGCATTAATCAAATTGAGTGTTATGACTCTTGCCATAGTACATGATGTATATTCAGCTTATCATTACTCTACATTCAACCATAACAACAATTAAGGATGAAGGGCATAATGACTCACTGAACTAAGAAATAAACAAATATTATCTTTGTAGATATTTTATTATGATAGTTGTCAGCAACTCATAAGAATATTTAACATATCATTGAGGTTATATACAAAGACAACTGACAGCTTGTAAGATGATGTCTTTCTCTCAGAAATAAGGATGTCAACAGTTAATACATTGTAACATTTCCCTTGTAAACATCACTCTGGGAGTCTGCCTTTAATAATTTTTCTAAAATTTATTGATTTTGCAACAGGATTTCTGGTAAATACAGAAAGGCCTCATGCCACGTATTTTACTCTTTGACCATCAAGAGCTATCAAGACACCAAGAGTGGTCAAGACATCAAGGGTTGACTGCAAAACTGCAGTCACTTATATAAAATAAACAGTTTTGTCGCAAGTGTAAGACAAAAGCCCTCCTGTAAAAATGAATGGGCAGAATCAACGAACATTACCAAAAAGACGGTCAACATATGCAAAAACAGCCCTCACTGCTTTACGCAGTAGAAATATGGTGACAAAATACTGCAAAATCAGCCTTAAAAAGCATATAACATGTAAAATATAACTTGGATCTTGAAAGTTTTTACCTTTCTTAAAATTTTAGTACATTTTTCTCAATATTGATTTTCTTGAAATATTTTGGCTCATCTGGAGGTGTGCAGCTTTAAGAAGTAAAATGGGGGGGGGGAAACTTCACTAAAGTGTAATATTGAAGTATTACATTAAAGACCCAACATGAAATTTTCCAGCCCGTTGCAACCAGAATTAAAGTAAACACAAAATATTTTGTCATTATAGAAAACAACTAATAATGCCTTTAATATTTCCATAGGCAGTGGAAATGGTTAGCAATAATGTATACAGCAACCTTAAAATAAAATCAAAATAAAATCATGTAAATGTAGTGGAATAGAACAAACAAAACATTGGCAGGTGTTGCTGACAATGATATTATAGTAAACTGAACACATAAGGTGGATTGAAGCACCATTGTCCTTTTTCTTACTTTCTCTTACTGATATAATAAAATAGCAGCAAATATCTGTTGCATCAGTTTTGCCACATATCTTCAGTGTCTTTTTATTGTATACCCTGCAACTTCTATATAGCATTCACTTGGTGCAAAGAATTTGATGCATGTATGTTGTCAGCAAATTTGGTTAACAAACCATAGCACCTTTATTCCTAAGAATACCATTACAACATTTGTGTTACACAAACATCACAGGCAGTGCATCTTTTTGCAAAAACAATATGTCTTTCCGGCAATAACTAATGAGTCCTCCAGGTGTACCACACTTTTATCAATGAGACATTATTTTGCAGTGGCCAATAAAGTATCCAAAAGAGCTTGTATTTGTCCTGTGTGTAATAACTGGTATAATCAGTAGTCACAAAATCATAGTATTACATTTGCCTAATGTGTCACCTTGTGTCATATGCTACAATTGGTTGTGTGTCACAATTTGTTAGGTATGTCACAATTTGTAATGTGTCACGATTTGTTACATGTCACAATTTGTTAAGTGTGTCACAATCTGTTAAGTGTGTCACAGTTTGTTAAGTGTGTCACAAATCAAATCTTTCATGACATATACTGTGTCCACATTCTTCATATTCATCTCTTGATACTGTCAATTTATGGAACTCTGGATCATTGGCTAACTGTACACCTCCTTCCCATGCATATGTGATGGGACTGAAAAAAACATGCATATTTATACAAAATTGTCCAAATCACAATGAAAGATGGTCCAATATAAAAGCTCTTACACTTAAGTTCAACCTACATGTACTTAGTACATGTATGTTTAATTGATTCTTAATTAATAACTAATCTGTACTTTGTTAAAATCACATTCTTTTCAACAAGGCAATTTATTACCATTTCAGCAAAATATCTGAATGTTTAAGTAAACATTTCAAAGGTACTAGGTTGCTTATTGTTTAAGAGATGACGCATAATCTTAATAAATGACAAATAAATTATAAAGAAAATCATAATTTTCACTAACCTGACCTTATCAGATATATAAATTGAGCAACTTTTGTATTGCAAATTTAACTTAATCTCTATTTATGAAGACTGTAAGAGATTAAAGAAAGGCTCATTGAATCTGCACCATATGGTTGTACAATATGACTCCTGAAAATATGGTAAGACTCTCCTCCAAAATGAATACTAGTATTTGAAAAGTATTGACAACTTCCTTTCTTATTTTTAGTTGAAACAGACTGCCACGAGACAGTGAGCAATATGAAAAATATAGTCAGAAAACAATTACTGAAAGTAAGAAAAAACAAAAGGCTTTATGGATGGCACACCTTCAAGACAACAAAAGCAAAATAATAAAGATTGAGAAGTTCTAGTACTTACTTGCTGGGTGTAGTCACAGAGATCTCATAGTCATCAGGAGCTTGACTTCTTACATCTATTAAACTGAAAATGAAATAAAAGTTTATATAATGATAAATACAATAATGTTTAAAAGGAACCATCCTCGCCAAGTGATTAAGGTTGTTGACCTTACTTGTCCCATGAGGGTTCCAATGCTGCCAGTGACTTTGAAATCTTTCCCACTTAATATGCTTGAAGGTAGGTGGTTCTTTTCAGGTGCCTGCTTGTGCCTTACATAATGCAGAAGGGCTTCTAGGGTCTTCAGTAAAGCTGGAATGTCGTTATACATTACGGCCTTTGCAAAGTCTGATTTAATTAAAAACACATTATGCTCATTTATTTCTGCTCTTCAGGTTCAACCCTAAAAATTATTCATAAACAAGAGCTGTCTCAGAAAGTGACAAATGCCCCCGAAGGATTCTCATTATAAACCACCTATTACATGCTAGTTTTTGTTTGTTTGATTTGGTTTTACGTCACACCGACACAGTATAGGTCTTTTGGCGATATTCCAGCTTTACTGGTGGAGGAAGACCTCAGGTGCCCTTCCGTGCATTATTTCAGGCACGAACGGGCACCTGAGTAGAACCACCGACGTTCCGTAAGCTAGCTGGATAGCTTCCTCACATGAAAGAATCCAAAATCCCTGTCAGGATTCGAACCACCAGCGGTGAGAGGCAAGTGGTTTGAAGTCAACGACCTTAACCACTCGGCCACGGACGCCCCTACATGCTAGTGTGGGGGTAAAAATTGACAAAGTTCGAACTCCAGCAGTGACCTTTATGTTAGACAAAGAAACCTCCGTCTTGTTCACAACACATTGTCCATCTATGGTGACTTTATATTTTTAAATAAAAATTGAAACTTTCATGTATATGGAAGTTACAGAGCAGACACAACAACCACCATTTATATGTATGTAACATAAATATTGAAAAAGGTTAAATCCCAGCAGTGACCTTGAACTAAGGCGTAGGAACACAGGTCTTAAGGGCAACACATCATACATTTAAAAAAATAAAATCCTTTCATGCATACTGGTTTCAGAGCAGACAAGACCATCTGTGCCTATATGTATATTAACATCAAAATTGACAAAGTTTGAACCTCCACAGTGACCTTGACCTAAGTCATAGAAATCAGTCTTGTTCACGACACACCATACATGTATGGTTATTACATATTTGAAAGAAAAATTAAAATCCTTTCTTGCATACTGAAGTTTCAGAGCGGACACGACCACCACCATCTATAACTATATAACATGTTTGAACCTCAACAGTGACCTTGACCTAAGTTGTAGAAACACGAGTCTAGTTCGTGGCACACCATATATCTATGGTTCTTTAATGATCAACATTATTTTTTGTCCAATCACATTGTAGTATTTTTCAAATTTCTGCTAAGTCTAACTTTGGTTAATGTGTACTAACTAAATAAAATTTACTTAATCAGTCTAACAAATTTCAGTAATGCATTATATTAGGGAGGAGCTAGAGGTGTGGTTTGCACTCTGAATTGTAAAATATAAAGGTTAGCAAAACAATGCCTTCTAAATGTGAGGATACAATACATTGATTTATTACATAGATAATACATGTGGGGCACGCAGAGACAAATGATTACATAGTAACTTTTTTATATCCTTTTAACTGAAAAATGTCTGTTATAAATTGCTGACTGTTTTAACTTTATATTTTCTAGAAAAAGTAACCAAAAAATTATTTTCTGTCACTTAATGATCAACATTATTTTTTGTCCAATCACATTGTAGTATTTTTCAAATTTCTGCTCAGTCTAACTTTGGTTAATGTGTACTAACTAAATAAAATTTACTTAATCTGCCGGCTAACCTGAGTCTAACAAATTTCAATAATGCATTATATTAGGGAGGAGTTAGAGGTATGATTTGCTCTCTAAATTGTAAAATATCTAGGTTAGCAAAACAATGCCAAAGTAAAAAACAATTAGGCAAGGTCAGGTGTTTCTAATTGTGAGGATACAATCAATTTATTTATTACATAGATAATACATGTGGGGCATGCAGAGACAAATGTTTTTTTATATCCTTTTAACTGTAAGAAAAATGCCTGTTATAAATTGCTGACTGTTTTAAACTTCTTTTTTTTTTCTAGAAAAAGTAACCAAACATAATTTTCTTTCAGTCGATAGGAATGAACTGCATTAACAATCCTTGATAATAAGAATACAATGATTATAAATACATTTTTTGACTGGAAAACTCATGGTAAATGGACCCCCTCCACCTGTAAACCTAGATTGACACACAAAAAAGCTGTTTTTCAAATGAGCAAATCAATAGGGATTTTAATGTTAGTGAATAACTTAAAGCTTATAATGAATTTGTATAAATTATTAATCTAATGCATTTTCTCACATTTTCCATTTATTTATAAAGGATGTACACATTTCATTAATTCCATTGTTTTTACCGAATTGCATCATTTTCCTCGCGCTGTTTTTTTTCCAGCATGATAGTCTTACTGTAGATAAAGGTATAAAGTCTGTGACATTTCAGTAAAAATGTGCCTGATTATTTGTTGATAGGGCCATTTATGTAGCTTATCTAAATGTGACATGTAGAAACTTAACAAGGTGTAGACATCTTATAGAGCGAAAGGGCGGAGCTATCTGTGATTTAGTGAGATGCCTTGTTTTTGGTTGAAAAATTATTTTTATATATATATATTTTTTTACCAATTATTTTTGTTAATACATATTATTAAACACTAACCTATACTTGATAGGAATTAACTGCCATTAACAATCCTTGATATTAAGAATACAATGATTACATTTTTGGCTGGAAAACTCATTATTAAACTAACCCCCTCAACATGTTAACCAAAATTGACACATAGAAAAAAACAAGAGGGCCATGATGGCCCTGAGGTCGCTCACCTGTATATAGCCCCCCCCCCCCCCCCGCCCAATTTTTACCCAAGTGCTTTTATTTGTTTATTTGAACAGAGTTGGTAGACACCCATAGGAAGTTGTTTCATGCAAAACATCTAAGTTCTAGCTCATTGGGTTTTTTAAAAGAAGATTTTTTAAGTTTTTACTATACACATATAGTTAAAAACAATGACACCCCTCGGGCAGGGCCAGTTTTGACCCCTGGGCTTTTATTTGAACAAACTTTGTAGATATTTACTTAAAGATGTTTCATGCTTAATATCTTAACTCTAGTTATTTGGGTTTTTTCAAAGAAGATTTTTAAGTTTTTGCTATGTATATAAGGAAAATCAATGACCCCCGGGGCGGGACCAATTTTGACCCCAAGGCTTTTATTTGAACAAACTTGGTACACACCCATTAGAACATGTCTCATCCTAAATATCTTAGCTCTAGCTCTTTGGGTTCCTTAAAAGAAGATTTTATAAGTTTTTACTATATGCATATAAGGAATATCGATGACCCCCTGGGGCGGGCCAATTTTGACCCCAGGGCTTTTATTTGAACAAACTTGGTAGACATTCACTAGAAGATGTTTCATGCCAAATATCCTAGCTCTAGCTCTTACGATTCTTTAAAAGAAGATTTTTTAAGTTTTTACTTTATGCATATAGGGAAAATCAATGACCCCCTGGGGCGGGGCCAATTTGGACCCCAGGGCTTTTATTTGAACAAACTTGGTAGACATTCACCAGAAGATGTTTCATGCCAAATATCTTAGCTCTAGCTCTTACAGTTCTTTAAAAGAAGATTTTTTAAGTTTTTACTATATGCATATAGGGAAAATCAATGACCCCCGGGGCGGGGCCAATTTTGACCCCAGGGCTTTTATTTGAACAAACTTGGTAGACATTTACTAGAAGATGTTTTATGCCAAATATCTAAGCTCTAGCTCTTACGGTTCTTTAAAAGAAGATTTTTTAAGTTTTTACTATATGCATTTAGGGAAAATCAATGACCCCCTCGGGGCGGGGCCAATTTTGACCCCAGGGCTTTTATTTGAACAAACTTGGTAGACATTCACTAGAAGATGTTTCATGCCAAATATCTTAGCTCTAGCTCTTTGGGTTCTTTAAAATAAAATTTTTTAAGTTTTTACTTTATGCATATAGGGAAAATCAATGACCCCCTGGGGCGGGGCCAATTTTGACCCCAGGGCTTTTATTTGAACAAACTTGGTAGACATTCACTAGAAGATGTTTCATGCCAAATATCTAAGCTCTAGCTCTTACAGTTCTTTAAAAGAAGATTTTTTAAGTGTTTACTATATGCATATAGGGAAAATCAATGACCCCCTTGGGCGGGGCCAATTTTGACCCCAGGGCTTTTATTTGAACAAATTTGGTAGACACTTACTAGAAGATGTTCCATGCCAAATATCTTAGCTCTAGCTCTTACAGTTCTTTAAAAGAAGATTTTTTAAGTTTTTACTATATGCATATAGGGAAAATCAATGACCCCCCGGGGCGGGGCCAATTTTGACCCCAGGGCTTTTATTTGAACAAACTTGGTAGACACTCATTAGAAGATGTTTCATGCCGAATATCTAAGCTCTAACTCTTAGGGTTGTTTAAAAGAAGATATTTAAAGATTTTTCTTTTGGTTGCCATGGCAACCAGAGTTCTGCATGGAATTAAATTCTTTGAACAATTTTTAAAGGTGACCACCAAAGGAACATTCCTGTGAAGTTTGGATGAAATTGGCTCAGTGGTTTATGAGGAGATGTCTTTTAAAGCAAAAGTTTACGGACGGACGGACGGACGGACCCCGGACGAAAAGCGATCACAAAAGCTCACCCTGTCACTTTGTGACAGGTGAGCTAAAAATGAACTGTTTTTCAAATGAGCAAATCAATAGGGATTTTAAATGTAAGTGAATAACTTTAAGCTAATAACGAATTTGTATCAATTAATAATCTCTAATTTTTCTCACATTTTCCATTTATTTTAAAAGGATGTACACATTTCATTAACTCCATTGTTTTTACCTACATGTAATTACTGTAGATAAAGGTATAATTTCTGTGACATTTCAGTAAAAATGTGCCTGATTTTATGTTGAAAGGG